TTATTAAATAAAGTCAGAAATGAAAGGGGAGACATTAAAACTGATGACACAGAAATAAAAAGGATTATGAGACCACTATGGGGGCCTCCCCGGCGGCGCAGTGGGTTGAGCGCAGTGCTGTGAAACTGTCCGCAGTCTCTGAATCTTGAAGAAATAGAAGATCTGAGCAGATATAACTATGAAGGAGATTGAATCAGTAATCAAAAATCTCCCAACAAATAAAAGCCAGGACCATATGGCTTCATTAGGAATTCTACCAAACATTTAAAGAAGAGCTAATGTTAATTCTTCTTAAACTTGTTAAAAATATCAAAGAGGAGGGAATACTTTCAAGCTTGTTTTATGAGACTAGTGCTACCCTCATGCCAAGATAGCAGAAGAAAGCTACAGATCAATATTTCTGATGATCATGGATGCAAAAATCTTCAACAAAAGATTAGTAAATTAAATTCAACAGCACTTTACAATGATTATACACCATGACTGGATGGCATTTATCCTTGGGATGCAAAGATGGTTCAACATACACAAATCATGCATGATACTAACAGAAAGGATTAAAATAAGATGATCATCTCGTAAACGCAGAAAAAACATTTGACAAAACTCAACGCCCTTTTATTATAAAATTCACTCAACAAACTAGGAATAGAAGGAAACTACCCAACATAATAAAATCCACATATGAAAAGCCCATAGTTACCATCATGGTGAAATACTGAAAGCTTTTCCTCTAAGCCTAAGTATATGCTGAGGATGCCCACTATCACTACTTATAGTCAATATAGTACTGAAAGTTTTAGCTATTGCAATTAGGCGAGAAAAGAAATGAAAGGATCCAAAGTGGAACAGAAGTAGTAAAACTCTGTTCACAAAAAAAAAAACAAAAAACAAAAACAAACAAACAAAAAAACCTCTGTTCACAACTGACATGATTTTACATGTAGAAAATCCTAAAGATTCCACAGAAAAAAATTAGGATTAATAATTCGGCAAAGCTACAGGATACAAGATCAATATACAAAACCAGCTGATCTTATAAAGCCTAAATGACAGTTGGGTGTGAGAGGAGTTCTGCTCCATACAATCATTCAGGGACCCAGGCTGCTGGACTGCTGGACACTGCTATCTTCAACACATTTATCTCTGCTCTCCTTGGTGTCGAGATTCAACTAGTGAAAAGGAGGGAGGGAAGGAAAGAGGGACTGAGAATCATGAATATTTAGGAGCCATATCTGGGGTGGCAAGTGTCACCTCTGTCCACATTCCTTTTGCCAGAACTCAGTTTCATGGCCACATGTATCTACAGGGGAGGTTGGAAAGTGCAGCTCAGGAAGAAAGAAAAATGACTTTGTGGGTAACTATCTAGTCAGATTCTTCCACACCTGTCTCTTCCTTCAGGAGAGGAAACTTAGACACAGAGAGGTCCAAGGTCATACAGACTTAGACACAGAGAGATCCAAGTCAAGGTACCATGCTGATGGAGAAAAAACACAAATGTGCAAATGTAATATCTGAAATTATAGTCTTACCAGTACTGGACTCAAAACTATTGTTATGTAACTATTTTCAGAGCCTCCTATTAAAAAAAGCCTCACTACTTCCCCGGGATTTCTGCTGATAGGTCTGTGCTAGGGGTCCCTTGAGCTCACTTGAGGTGGGAGGAAAGCCTTCTCTAAGGGAAATAGAGAATCCAGCCCTGGATTCTTTAGTGGCCCCAGGTGGGAAATCGCTTTTCTCTGCCTCATAAAGCAGCCTTCTGCTGTGCAGTGTTTTACTACCCATGTTCCTCTGCGCCTGGGAGAAGAGGCCCAGGTGGATGTGCTGGGAGGGGAGGATTTATGTACCAGGTTCCAGGGGAAATCCTCAGGACACTTTTATAGTTTCCTTTGTCACCTAAGCCAGGAGTAGCCACCCAAACCAGTCAGCTTGAGGGGGACAGCATGCCTGAAGTTAGGTAACAATTTGAAATTTCAGTAGCGGTCTGGCCACATACATATGCATACGGGTCATGGCAACAATTAACAGGCTTCAGTGTTTTGGTGGCTAAAACCCTCTTTCTGTTTATACTAACCACAGTGGGTTCTGCAGTTTGAAATTAGGGTGCCTGGCCAATGCAGGGCTTGTAGCCCCAGAGGGAACAGAGCTGAAGATGAGAGTGGGGTAGGAGAGCAGAATTCTGGGGCCCTCCAGGCCTGGTCAGGCCACAGAGAATAGGTCTCAAGTGTCATTGGCTTTGGGCTCACTGTCTTCCCCAGCAATGTGTCTGGGGACCAAAGGAGTTGAAGAACAGAAGGCCTCCTGTGAAGTTGGAGGCAGCATGGTCCAAAAGACCACCCTCACAAACCTACCAACTGCAAGTTTGAGGGTTTCCAAGACTACCCGAAAATTCCACAGTTTTCTAGGAGGACTCACAGAACTCACAGGCAGCTTTTGCAGTCAGTTATAGCTCGTTGAAGCGAAAACGTAGTGATTAAAATAAATCAAGGGAATAGGTACTTAGAACACGATCTGGGAATGTTGCAAACACAGAGCTTCCAGCTGACCCTCCCTGAGGATTTATGGACTATATTACTTCCCAGCCTCGTGGCGACAATACACAGAGTGCTGCAAATCAAGCCCGGTGTCCAGAGTCAGTGGGCTCCACCCATAACCATGGTTGTCTATCAGTGTGGATGGCCACTGTGTCCAGCCCCTCGGAGGTCAAGAGGCTTCCATGTGACCCAAAGCCCCATGATGGTTCACACTGTTGGCCTATCTGAGTGGTGGTCCTTCAGGTAAATAAACAGTCCTGTGGGACACCTTTCCAAGGTCTTAGAGGTGAGCTCTCAGGGGCTGAGGGCAAAGACCAGACCTCTCTTTGAGCTCGGTGAATTTGCTGATTCCACAATCCTCCAATGTGACACCTCTCCCCATAAACTCAGACACTACCTCAGGAGAGGTAGCGTCAAATACCCAACTGCTAAATTAACAGAAGACTCTTTAAGTTCCTGGATTTGATTTCTAGACACCTATTTTACAGCTGTACCTCCCCTATACATATAAGGACATATGAATAAGAAATGATGTGTGGATAAAGTTGCTCATTGAAGCACTATTTGTTGGCAGGAGTTCCTTGCTGGAGAGAGAGCAGAGCTGCCAGCTGTCGAGGAGTTGATTAAAGCAACAATCAGCTAAAGTGAAAGGCACAGTGAATCCCAAGTATCTACACAAAGAATGCCAAAACCTAATTAGAAGGGCCATATGCATGCCTATATTTGTTACAGCATTATTTACAAGAGCCAGGTTGTGGAAACAACCCAAGTGCCCAAGGACAGATGAGTGGATTAAGAAGATGCAGTATATGTACACGCCGGAATACTACTCAGTGATAAAAAAGATGAACGCTTGCTTTTGTGACAACATAGATGGAAGTCGAGGGGCTGATGCTAAGCAAAATAAGTCAGAAGGAGCAAGAAAAATAACAGATGGCTTCACTTATATAAGGAATATAAAGAAACAAAAGAAAGGGTAAAAGTCAAACCTTGTCATGAATAAGTGTTTCTCCCTTGTTTCACCACAAATCTGGTTCTACCATATTCATCAGGGACTTGCCTGGGTTTCCCTGAGACTTTCTTGATGCCATCCCCCAGAATGTTCTCAAATGTAGGCTGCGTACAAACTATCCTGACCTACTTTAAAATATGCAGAGGAGAATGACTCACAATGTTTCCAGTATTGTGGAAGTTTAATGGCACAAGCAGGTAAGCCTTGTAGTGGCTGATGCACTAGTTGTTCAGAACATGCGCACTAGCCTTCCCTCTTCCCCATCTGACTTCCTGCTCTTCTTTCCCGGTACTTCTGGCATCATCTTCCAAACAAGCTACTTATACTCACCTTCACCTCCTTGTGCCAGGATTTGCTTCTGGGGAGCCCAAAGGAAGGCAGATGATAATCATATCCGCCACTTACCAGGGCCTGGCTACACCTTGATACCCACCGAAGCTTCGTGTGATCCCATCGAGTCCTGAGTCCCCTGGAGGGCTTCCTAGCCCCCCTTCCAGGGGAGGAGGCAAGGTTTAGGGAGACCTTGCCCATGGCCCTAGGCAGGTAAGTTGGAATCAATTCTCCCCCCAGTAGCTGAGGCAACGCCCTTACAGCAGGGGCTCGAGGTGGGTGTGGGCCGCTCTACCTCCCCATGCTGGACCCCAGTGTCTGCTAATAGGAGGTGCTTAGTAAGGACGCCCAGTCAATAGATACTGAATCCCCACTATAGCCAAATAAGCCCTTTTTTATGGATTACCTAAATGTCATTGTTATCACAGATGTTATTATCATCCTTACTCTATAGGTGAGGATCAATGGGGAAAAGGGCCTGCGTGGGCCACATGGCCAGCCCTGGACAGAGCCTGGGCCCTTCACCAGCAGGGATGGCTGTGGTGGACACGTGGACAAAAGAAAAGAGGAGGGAAGAGGGGAAGCCATGGTTTACCCAGTCCCCAGCTGGTGACAGCACTGGGTCTCATCTTGGAAACTCTGCCACAGACAGGGTAAATGGGTCTGTTCCCTGTGAATTATCTGCTAGCTGGCAGCCCCATCCATCTGCTCATTAACACAATTAAAAAAAAAATCAAACAAGCCTTCTGATTCCCAGTCCCTGGGGGTCCAACTACATAACTTGGAAATAGCTCTTTATTAAGTCTGATAAAAGGCTCGTTGTTCAGTAATTAGAAACCAAGTCCTCTTCCTTCAGGCTCAGGGCTCACAAACAACAGTTGGATGAGCTTTTTATTTGGGTTGGACCAAAAACCCAGACGGATCCATCTTCTTCTGATTTATCCCCATCTCAGTGGGGAAAAACAGCAGGGGGCTGAGTTTTTGCTCTGGGAGAGCCAGTGGCTCCCGTGTCCGCAGCACAGGCAGGAAGTGAGCTCGAAACTGAAATGAACAAGCATCTTAGAGAGGGGTCCTCAGCACCAGGTCCAGGGTGCATGGAGCACACCCCACTCCTAATTCTCTCTTAGAGGTTTCCATGGCCCACGGGGAAGGGGTTTGTGGTCCAGCTGGAGCCTTGGAGACCACAGATGGGTCTGCCTATCCCCAAACCCCTTAGGCCAGGAGAGGGTGTATAGTAAAGAAAGAGGTTCAGCTAGAGTAGCAGGTGGTTCCTTCACTGTAACATCAACGACAATTTATTGGGGATCCTCTGCTAGGCATGGGGGTCAGATGTGAACAGAACAAGATGGTGCCTCCCTTAGAGACATCACAGGCCAGTGGGGGAGGACGGTCCATTGCAGTAGAGCAGGTAAACCCAGAGGCACAGAGAGGGTGGGCAAGTGTTCTGAAGAGCAGGAGAGGGGCGCAAGGCAGGCGGAGGAGGAACATCTTCATCCCCCAACATCTGTGATATGCTGCACATCTGGAAATGCAACTCGCTGATCTCGCTGCGGCTGCCAAGTCCTTCTTGTTCCTTGCTCTCAAACACTCATGTACTGGACGTTAGCACCCAAGAACAGGAATTCCTAGGAAAGACCAGACAGGACAGGGTAGTAAAGAGCACCCTCTACTCCACAAGATGCACCTTGGATCTCAAGGGAGCCACATGTCTTGGGAAACACGAGCTGAGCCAGAAACCAGGTCAGGGCATCAGTCACCTGTGTGCCTCTCTCCCCAAGGTCTCCATAAAGTACAGCTTTTGCCAGCTACATTCTCTAAGGTAGCAATTAATCTGTCATTTCCCAAGCTGCTGCTTCCTGGCAGGCCTCATAAATGTCCTTTGTGTCACCTAAATTTTCTTTTGTTGGCAAATAACACAAAACTGTGAGCTGCTATGGTTGACTCTCCCATCTCTTCAGTTCCCATCACCCAGAGGGGCAGGAATTCTGAACTCAAGGCAAAGTCCAATGCTCTCCCATGCTGCCCATCCCCTGCCTTTGAGATCAAACAAATGGACAGAGTTGATGTCAAAATTCAAAAGAATATGCTAAAATAGAATAAATCTTTGAATTACTTCCCATGCATGAAACTGAGCTAGATGCTTTCAGAGTTGGCACCCAGTTTTCAAAGAATCCATTGAGGTTTTGGCTACACCCCATTTTATAGAGGAGAAACCAGGCCAACTGGGTGAATTATCGCTTAGTCTTGGTTTTGAGCAATGATCTGTCTTCTGTGAAGACTCAACAGTACTTGGGTGTTGAGTACCTCTGGGCCCCTGGTTTGGGGCATTTGCTTTTCAAATGTAGCAGTTGGTCAACGTTTTGTGTTCCTGCAGATTCTGCTGCCCTGCAGACTCGCTGGCGGCTGTTATTTATGGGGTGCCTGTGATGTGCCAGGACAAAGTATCTCACAGACCCCACAACTTAGTCATCCCACCTTAGAGATGTTCTTCTAAAAGATAGTCTGAACCTGGGGGCACACATGGACCATCATATGCTTGTCAGAATAGTGGAGAGAATAATGAAGAATCAGACATATTCCTTGGTATTGAAATAGTTACATAAATGATAGTCCATCTGATGGGTGAGACATAATTCTTATGGACAGTAGGAAGTCTTAGGTTTCAAGAAGGGAATGAGGCTAAAGGGTGATGCTAAGTTTAAAAAGAAAAGAAAGAATACAGGTGTAAGTACTAGCAGTGCAATTATCCAAATAAAACAAAACATTTTTTTTTAAATGCTTAGAGGAAAAAAGACTGCAAGGAAGTACAATGAAGTTCAAACCATGGATATGTTGGAGCAATGGGTTTATGAATATTTTCCAAAAACTTTTATTATATGGCTATATTACTTGGAAAAAATTTTAAAAAGCTTTCAAATAGCTTTCAGAATCTGACTTGTTGGTAAGTCTAGGATTGCAGTCTTTTCAAAATGAGGTGGTCTTGAAGTCACCCGTGGCTGGGGGTGGGAGGCAGTGTGGCACAGGCTGTGTCCATACCTCCTGCCCCCACAGAGAGGCCACTTCGGAAGGACATATGGTGTCTGGGATGTTGGGGAGCATCCTACCCCAGGCAAGGCTAGGCTTGGTTCCACCCACTAAGTTATGGTCTCCAAATCTGGAAAGCTAGCCCACCTTCTCCCCAAATGCTCAAAGTCCCCCTGAACCGACTGACCTTGCGGATCTGAAGAATAAGGTCGTAGAGTTGAATGTGGCTTAGCAGAGGGAGTGGGAAACCATTTGCCAACACCTCTGTAGGTTGAGAGAGATTTATTAGTAACATTTTACCAAAGAAAAGTCCTCTTTGCAAACTCTATACACAGTACATTCCCATTTAATTGTCACTACCATCTCACAGAAAAGCCACTGGAGTTCAGAGAGGTGAAGTGACTTACCCAAGGTCACACAGCCTGCAGAAGCACCCCTTTCCCAACTCCAAGTCTAGCTCTCTTTCCACCAAATAGTGGTGTCACTCTGGACTTGGAAAAATCCACAGTGATTCTTACCGTTGACCTTGGGGTAAATGTTGTTGAGAATGTAGTAGTTGAGTAATGCCTCCAACAGCTCCACCTGGGGGAGAACAGGAGAGGTACACTGTAACCTGGGCCATCTCGCCCACTAATAAACTCCATGCCACTCTGGGGATGGGATGGTTCTCTATGTGCTGATGTGATAAGAGGCTTGACATAAGCAAATGCAATAGGTACCTACATCATGCTACTGTTTTTGTAAGATAAAACTGTTTTGATATACACATAGAAATATTTGGGAAAGTTACATTCCATGGTGTTTCCTCCAGGAAAAACATCAAGGATTGACTTAGTCTTATTTCTGTTATTTATCTTTTTTTTTTTTTACAGTGAGAATGTTTTCCTAAATTAGTTGTGGGCTACAAAAATTTTAAGTCAAAACAAAATTTATGAAAGACATCTTGTAATACTCCCTGTATTCCACATATAGGGCTTAGAGCATTACATAGATCTAGGATTCAGCCTTTATAGGGAGGTGAGGATAATGTTCCCATTTCACAGATAAGAAAAGTGAGGCCCACAGAATGAAAATGACTTGCAGGAAACTGGGCAGCAGGATCAGGGTTTGAATCCCGAGGTATCTGATTTTACAGGTCTTGTTTTTCACATTCCATGTTCTGAACACCTGATAGGATGACTTTTTCTGAATCTTTCCACGTGAACTGAATATTTTATTTTATGGAACATTTTTACATGCCCTACACAGGTACAGTATAAGTGTGTTATTATTCACTTTATTCTTTCTTCCTCTGGAAGGAGTCATCTTTCAGGGTCTCTAAGGGCAGTATCTCTCCCTGCACATCATAGCTTTGTTTCCACTACATAAGCAGTTAAAGGAAAGTCCGGGCAGTGGAGGGCAGGGGTAAGGTGGTCAGAAGAGCCCAGCTCCAGTGGGATGGTAAAAGAAAAATAACTCCAGCTAGTTAGATCTTCCATCTCCCTTCAACCTATGAGAAACAGCTGCCATCACCACCTTCCCTCTTTCCAGAGATTTCTCTTGATGGCTTCAGCCCACATCAGTTTTCCCATCTCTTTTCCTCCTTTATTGGAGGTGGGGACATCTATTTCACCACTTTTCCTCCTTGTGGAAATCACTTGATTTTGCCTGTGCATTATGTAATTCTGCTTGCTTTTACTATCAGAGTCCCTATTTTCCTCCAGGGAACCCCCTTTTCTAATCCAATATACTGTTTCCAGAAGTGTAGCCAAAACCCATGCTTGATCAATTGACCTTGTCCAATTTCTGGCCACAGTGATTGGCTAATGAATGGGCAATACTAAGATTAATCCAGTGAGAGCTAGCACAGGGATTGTGCTTTTACTCTGTAAAAAGTGAAATGAAATTACAGGAAACTAGAGGTTTAGCTACTAATTGGAGAACCCAATGCAGATGATAGCAGAATGGAGTGATGAAGAGAGCGTCTCGATGTACCTATTCAAGCCTCTGGATCTAGCTATGCCTGAAGCCTTTAGCTTTGGTTTTTTCATTGTGTTTAGTTATAAGGCTCTCTATATTCCTATATATTCTTTAAGACATTTTCAGTTGGCTTTGTTCCTTATAGTTCAAGAATTCTGTCCAGTATATGATTTAATAATTTATTATTGTGTATTGGGATGTAGTTGTTCCTTGGCCCTATTCCATGTCCTTGAGAGTTTCTGTTGTTCTCTGTGGCAGAGAAAAGCTCTTCTTCTTTGTTATTTTCTATTATAGGTGTCATAGCCTTGCTTAGTAAACACTCTAAATTAATTAATACCCTAATCATTTCATAAATAAAAACACTTACATTGAATGCTCCAACTTTAGATTCTTTCAGTTCCACATGTATCCTATAATGAACAAAAGAAGATTCAGAGACATGGGCATTATGCTCATATGAAACCTCGCTAATGTGGGGATTAGCAGAAAAGGGGAGGCCCTTACTTGAGAAGGCTCAGGTTCAAGGCTGGGGTAGGGTGGGAGTGAAAAAAATGACCAAGCAGCCCAGAACAATGATACGGTACTAGTGAGAAGACTGGCAGAGGGAAAGCAGGTCAAGTAAAAGAATTCAATTGATCTATAATTTCAGGAAGTTAATGTAGCTGATGTCTAAAATTCATAGATTTAAAAGTAAAGCACTTATTAGCACTTTCCTTAGAAATTTGGAATGGGGGATTAGGTGGAGAAATTTTAAATTTTGTGGAGGCAGGGCTGGTGAAGCGAAAGAATTGGACCAATTGGAATGAAAATTAAGTTTCCTTCCCAAATTGTGACCCACCTCCCCCTGCCCCAACATTAACAGGAAGATCTCACCATTCCCCTGCTCCAGCTACAGAGACTTAAGAAGCCCAGTCGAATGTCCCCCATCCCCCCATCCTGGCCCCGGGCAAGAGGCACACTTACTGCTCTGGCTTTAGGGATGCAGTGATCTTGTTGGTGTTGAAGGTCAATGTGGCAGATATATTAGTGGCCTGGAAATGCCAGAAGAAGGAAGAGGGACTAAGTGAGGGAGGTCATCACGTACAGGAAGGGCGACTATGAGGGCTGGTTATCTCTGCTAAGCAAATGGCTCAATGAATCAATGCAGGAATTTGCTATTAGATTGTAGATTCCCATAAGGTGCAATCTAATAATCCCATTTAGGTGCTCAATAAATGTTTGAACTTGAACATTTTTTCTTGAAATTGTTGACTATGACAGCAGTTAAACTTTGAACAGATTACCAAGGAAGGTAAAGAGTACCTGTCCCTGACAATCTCTAAATGGGAGAGTTTCTAGCTATTTCAGGGCAAGATTCAGTCCTGGTGATGATGATGATGATGATGATGATGATGTCGTCTTACTTTAAAATACATTGATAGCAATTGTGATAATGACAATATCAAATTGCAGATACAACTTCTAGGGCCAATTACCCTTGCAGAGATTTGTCTTGTTGACTTCGAAACCTGAAACAAGATAGCCAAGTTCTCTATCCAGTGAAAAGGATCCCCAAGGGACTCCAAATCCCTTACATAGAGTCTATTGAGAAAGGAGAAACCACTCTCAATATTTAATGCAGAGGCAATTTAAAGCAGGGGATTTGTTTACAAAAATGACACATTGCTGAAAAGCCAAAAAAGAATTGGAGAGGCAACTCAGGCATCAGCAGAGACAGCAAGCCACTTCTACCCAGGACTGCAGAACAGAGAGAGGAACTGGGAGTGTGGGGCAACTGGGGAGGAGACACAGTCGCTGCTAGAATCTCTGTCCAAGGTCAAGAAAGGAAAAAAATACTCTGGCTTTTTCCTTCCTCCTGCCCTCCATTCTCATTAAGTGTCTGTCATGGACTGACCCAGCTGGAACTCAGTGTAAGACAGCCTGGGAAATGTAGTCTCCAGGGGTCAGACTTAGATTAGAGCAGAGCAAAGACTCCTATACATCCCCCCACAGTAGCCCAGACTCAGCTAATGGGTGACAGAGAGATACATACATTGAACAAATAAATCTATAACAGTTATATAAGTATCTGTACTATAAATATTATAAAGAAAAATAATAGGGAGCTGCAAGAATAAATGGTAAGGGCCTAAGGTAGACCAGAAGAAAGTATAATCAAGAAAGTTCTCTCTGAGGAAGTGATATTGAAGGTGAGCTCTACAAGTATTAGCTAGGTGGTGAATCTGGGGAAACGTATGCAGAAAGAGGGAACAGCATCTGCAAAGACTTTGGATCTTACCGCACCAAGCTTGAAGACAGGCACCCGGCCAGTGTTCGACAGCACAAAGCCATCAATCTCTATCTCGGGGGACAAGGACAGATTCCCAGGGCTGAAGTTCAGTAATGGGGCAGAGGCAACTGCTCCCTGGAGCTCCAAGTTCATGTTGGGGTACAGCCTGCCTAACTGGGGGAGGGGGAGAATGAGGACATGATGTCAGATGAAAGAAATATGCAAAATAATAGCCCAGGGCATGCAGAGGGGTGATCACATTCTCACCGGGTATTTGTATACAATCTGACAAAATGCATAGATTTGGATTGAGAACTGGGTGGTTGGGGGACAGGAGTGGATGGGTCTTTCCAAGCCACATTATTTCATGCCTTGAAAGTTGAACTATTATCACCCAGCCAAAATATTTTTAAAGCACCAGGAATAGGCCTGGCCACTAGTATGTCCTCCATCTCTCTTAGGTTTATGGATTAGGGTACATTTTGTGGGACATGTTGGTATTCCTTGGGATTTTTAGATATCACTACTGAAAATACTAGGCTCTGTGGTCCCATGAGACCCAGGCTTTGAAGGGAAGGGAGCCCCAAAGCCAGCAGCACCCCAGCTTTCACTAGGGGTGGACTGTCAGCCTTGAAACCATTGGTTAAGTTAACAAAAGGTTTTAAAGAGAAGTCCCTGAAAGCCAGAGGGCTCAGTGTGCACCCACCAAGGGCTGAGGGATGTCTTACCCGAGGGGCAAAGGAACGGAAGGACTTGGTGGTCAATCGGATGTTAGAGTCAGGTGGAATCTGTAGCAAAGAGACACAGAGAAGTTTTAGGTGCTCCGGGGGAGGTGAAGGTCTAGAGAGGTGGAGTGAGGGGGAATGGTCAAGCCTGTAGCTTCTCAAATGTCCTGGGTCACCATGGCAGCGACCATCCAGATGCCTGCCCTGCACCAGCACATGAGTCTTCGAGGGGCTGGCTGCACTCCTTGGGGTGCAGGCGACATGCAGGAAACACCTTGAGAGTCCACGAGGGTGAGGGTGAGATGTGCCATCACACAGACACAGGTTTGGCTGCTGGCTTTGTGCTGTGTGGTCTAGGGCCAGGCCCTTAACCTCTCTGAGTCTCAACTTCTTCATTATAAAATGGGGATAAGCAAAGTCTCCACTCACCAGGTCACCATCTAGCACGAGGTCTAGCACAGTGAGCACTTAGTAAATCACAGCTGCTAGATTGTGTCCACTAAAAGGAGGACAGCAGCAGTAAACATAATAGCAGAAACTGGCCGATGTATGTGTGACAGGTCATCCCAAGGACACAAAGTCCATGCCATCCATCTACCAGATGCTCCCGGTTTATGAAGAGAGCAAACTGGCCTGTACATGCCCTGTGTTCCTGGCACCATCCTTGTATTGTTCACGAGGCTTCAGCTTTTACAAGGAGCAACAAGAAACAATCTTTTGAAACCCAGAAATATTAAAGAAACAGGAGAAATATTGATGATGTGACCACAATAACATTTGGTATCGATTATATAAAGCCTCTGTGAGTTGCCTTAGAGGTAGATGGTAGGAAGACTTTGTCCCTCCTTTTCACCACGCATCACTAAAATCATGTGCCCTTTTCACTGTGTCTATAGGGGAGCTCCCAGAAAAATTTTCTATTAAAAAGATCACTTTGTGGGCACAGTGTCTTCACAGTCGTGCTATACTTTTATTTTCTATTCTACGTATTTTCTATTCTATTCAGTGCATCTTTTATCCTGCCCACTCACTAAAATATTTTTAAAGAAAGATTTTTAAAAGATCTAAAAACCATGAAAATAAGACAAAATATGAATTAGAATAACATGTCTATGTAAGGTCGGTGCAGGGGGCCTGGTGAGGGCCCGAGGCCACTGGCACAAGAAGGGGCCTTGAAACCTCAGAGGGAATTCAACCTTTGCCTCAGCTCCTGGAACCAGAGGCCTCCACCAGACACAAACAGAACCTGGTAGTGTCAACCAGAAACCACCAAAAAATCCCAACTTCGGTTCCATATACCCAGTTTCCCACCTAACATTTCCTCACCCTATAAAAGGACTTATCCCCCACATTGGGCACCACTTCTCTAACCCCCATGGGGGGGGTCCAATGAATCTTGCGGGGGTGGGGGGAGGGGTGGGGGGGCGCTATAAATTTTACCCACCTTTGAGAAACTTGGCCTGGCTCTTCTTTTCTTTACCACGCCAAATCTTTCAGTCTAGCTTGAGGGGTGTGGTGGGGGAATGGAATACAGAAGCAAGCTACAAAGCCTTCCTTTGTTATAAGGGAGAAAGAACGTTGACTTTGAGCTTCCTAGAAGCCAAAGTAAAAAGGGAAATTGTGCCTATATTTTTCCTGGTCTTGATCTTTTTTTTCTTAGTCATAATTTATTATCTCATTGATGTAAATGAAAGGAAAGAAGAAAGGAAAGACAGGTTTTTTTTGTCATTTGTAAGTGCTCTTCTGCCACCATCCTCACCAAGTCATCTGTGATGGAGAAGGTCAGGTATCCTGCCTTTTGATACACCAGGCTGGCTGTGTTGAAGACATAATTAGAGATGGTAAAGTAGATCATTCTGCTGTGTTCCTCAGGAAGGTTCATAACTGGAGGAAGGAGAGCAACTCGGGAGTGGTGATCACGGTGAAAAATTTCACCCTGAAGAGAGAAATAGGGTCCACTTGAACTTTTCAGTCTGTCCCATGACCAGACATCTGAGCAAGGTAGTCCTGATGGGTGTGTGTGTGTGGGTGCACCCTGGCTCTAGATATTGCCTGAAAATCTATCACTAAAGTCTTTTTCCTTTGAATCAGTGTTGTCTATCCAGATGCCTTCATGGAAAGCTCCTGAATGCATTAAACTTTGGTATATGATCATATGACCGCTATATCACCTAGGGTCAGCTCTGACAGACTTCACCTGTGTAGTGGGCAAGGTAAAGGATGGGGACATAGAAAGAGGGGACGTCTTAAGGCCTAAGAGTTGGAAGTCACTTGTGGGAATATGCTGGCTCTGGGAACAGTCCCCACCACATTGTCTGGACTTCAACGCAGTTGGCATTGTCTGGCCTTCAACACAGCTGGCATCATTGGGGAGATGAGGACAGACAAGGTGCATTGGAGGCTCCAGGAAAGGAATGAACCCGAGGGAAGGCTACACTGGAGTTGGACCCACCCCAGGCCATATCCCAGGTCCCTTACCTTAAGCATCAAGTCCAGTGACTGGGATGTTGCCCTTGGTGCCTCCATTAAACTGTAATCAATACTGATGAAACTGTCAATCTTTGCTGAGACTGTGGACCAGGAGAAGGCAGAATTAGGAGCTAGGCAATAGAGAGAAGGGGTGATCCACATCCCAAGGAATTGTTGCAATGTATCATCAACAAATTCAGTAAAGTTGCAGGACACAAAATCAGCATACAGAGATTAGTTGTGTTTATACACTAACAATGAAATATCTAAAAAGGAAAGAAAAGAATCCCATTTACAGTAGCATCAAAAACAATAAAAGACTTAGCCAAGGAGGTGAAATATTTATGCATTGAAAACTATGACTGATAAAAGAAATTGAAGAAGGCACAAACAGATGGAAAAAGTATCTTGTGTTCATTGACTGAAAGAATCAATATCACTAAAATGTCCATACTACTCAATCTCATCTATAGCTTCAATGCAGTTTTTATAAAAACTCCAATGGTATTTCTCAAAAGAAGCAGAAAAAACAATCCTAAAATTTGTAGGGAACCACAAAAATCCTGAATGACTAGAGCAATTTGAGAAGAAAAATAAAACTGGTGGCATCATATTTTATGACTTCAAATCCTACCACAAAGCAATAGTAATCAAGAGAGTATGGCACTGTTATTAAAAATAGTCAAGGTGTGGAAACAATTGGAGCCAGTCAACAGATGGACTGTGTGTCCAAGAAAGTGTGTGTGTACATGTATATACATCATACATGTGTGTGTAACAAAATAATATTCAGTCTTGAGAAAGCAGGAGACCCTGCTGTATGTGACAACATGAATGGAACTCGAGGATACTATGCTAAGTGAAAGAAGTCAGACAGAGAAAAATAATATGGTGATTATTTACATTATGAGCATAATGAATCTTAGAAAGCTAACTTGTAAAAGCAGAGATTAGAGGCCTCCCCCGTGGCGCAGGGGGTTGAGCACAGCGCTGTGAAGCTGTCCCGCAGCCTCTACAGCACGGGTTCAATTCCCGGCTGGCCAGATTGATTCCCACATGGCATGGCAGACCTCTCCTGTCGCATCTGTTGCTCTGCTCAGCAGTGTATTTCCGTCAGTCAGCCTGTTCTACTCCCCACTCTGGTGAATCCTCTCACCCTCCTGTGCTTCTGGCCTGTACACTAGCTCTTGTATAAATAAAAAAATAAATCTTTAAAAAAAAAAAAAGCAGAGATTAGAATGGCAGTAACAGGAGCTGGGGTGTGGGGTAAATGGGGAAATATTGGTCAAAGTATATGAACTTCCAGTTAGAAAATGAATCAATTCTGGGGATGTAATACACAGCATTGTGAACATAGTTGACAGTGCTGTACTATGCATTTGAATGTTGCTAGGAGAGTACATCTTAAATGCTCTCAGAAAAGAAGTGATAATTATATGAGGAGGTGGAGGTGTTAGCTAAGGTTACAATGGTAATCACATTGCTAATTGTGTCCAATTAGCATATTGCACTTTAAACTTACAAAATGTTGTATGTAGATTATATCTACATACAAGCTGGATAAAATAAAATTCAACTTTTTAAGATTAAAAAAGAAAATATGTGCTGATTTCCAAGTATGCAAGTTATAAAAGAACAATGTATATACTATGTGTAGACTCAGATATTTTCATAATTATGCATATACATATATTCATGAACAAAGGGCTACATTTAGGAATGTATACCTGTATGCTTATTATGTTTATATTTATATTTGCACATGCAAAGAAAAATAGAAAAGAATGGACTCCAAACAGTTTACCTCTTGGAAGAAAATTTGAGGAGAAAAGAGGACTCTATTTTCACTCTCTACACATTGTTCCATTTAGTGTTTTATGAGGTATGCATATACCTTTTTTTAAAAAAAATATTTATTTATTTATTTATACAAGCACTGGGTACAGTTAGAAGTGCGGGAGGGTGAGAGAATTCACCAGAGCCACAGCAGGGAGCAGAACAGACAGACTGACGAAATACACTGCTGAGGGGAGCAGCAGGCGGCAGGAGAGGTCTGCGCGCCACGTGGGAACCTCGCCCGGTGGCCGGGGATCAAACCCGCGCTGCAGAGGCTGCAGGCAGCTTTGCAACCCAGCGCTCAACCGCTGTGCCACCGGGGAGGCCCTATGCATATACTTTTAGTAAGAAAAGTAAACTGTCCCAGAAATGGATGGGATGCTGTACCTGGCAGAGTCTGGAGATAAGGCTGTAGGTCAGAGGTCACTGATTTCTGGATCAATTCACAAATCTGGAAAATAAAAAAAAGGGAAGAGGAAGGCTGTCTGAGCACCTGGGCTTTGGTCTGACCCTGTGCTCATTGCTTTAGTCACATTATTTCATATATCTGCTCATTTTTATCGATCCCACAGATATTTACAGTGCTTATCATGTGCCAGCTACTGAAGAAACAGAGATAATAAAAAATATATAGGTTCCCCTGTGGATCCCAACAGGGTCCAGCTGGACCTTTCAAGTTCATTCTTAAGGCTGGCCAATGGAGCTGGGTAGTCCCCTCCATAGCCTGATTGGGATTCAAGGAACTTCATTGCCTGAAGCTCCATCATTAAAGATGTTTTTCACTGGGAGGCCCTGGAATGTAGCTTTGAGTAGCAGAACTAGGCAGAAAATGGAAGCAGCCATCCAAGTGAGTGTATGAGTTCATGCAGTTTGCTTTTTAAATGTCATTGCTGCACAGGTGGGCTGGGTTGACCAGTGTTTTCCCTGGATGCCCATGGATGAGTGAATGCTCTTGAGGCTACAACACACAGTAGGCCCACAGAATGGGTTGCCACCATGTGAGTTGCAAGCTTCTCCAGAAAAGAAAATATTGTCTTCTCAAACTTGTGTCCTCTACTCGCTGTTGTAACTACTCAAATCATTGCTTACGCAAACCAATGAATTATGAATGAGCACAGAGTTGTTTCTATGAAAACCTAAGAGAAGTGAGTGCTTTGGAAAGGTGAGTTGCTTCAAGAAAAATGCTGTTAAATTTGGAATGGACAAGAAAAGCTTAGGAGGGAAAAAAATAAAAACGTAGAAGGAAGCTGTTCTCGGATGGCTTCGCAAATGTCTTTTGATTCTCCTTGTGTTTCAAGGAATCTGTGCTGGGATTTGTTGCAGATCGATGTTTTATGCAAGAAAGACATCAGTGCCAATAGAGAGGCTGTTTTCAAACAACAGATCTGGGCCCGACATCAAAAGATGGCAAATGAATTTACATTTCCTCACATGTAAATATTTTCTTTGTTCATGTATATGAAAGCTTTCTCATTTAAAACACGTTTCTTCAATTAACCAGCTACCACCTGTTGTGCTAACAGATCTACATGTGCTATGAGGGAGGGGGACATGTTGAGGGGCTCCAGGAGCATGGGGGATCCCAGCTTAGTCTGGGGGTCACAGAGGGCTCCCTTGAAGACATTTTAAGGGCAAGGCATAAATCAGCCACAAGATTGTGGGGGAAAGCTGGGCAGGGGGCGGGGCAGGATAACCCCTGCTGCAGCTGTCCTCAGTTTCCAGGAGGGGAGGTTGGGAGTGGAGGAGCTGCTCCAAGGTGAAGAAAAGCGTGGTGAGGAACGTCCGTGATCGGTTTCAAGGGAACCAGGAAACTTGTTTTTTCCTGCAGACCATGGCCTAGCACATCAACCCAGCTACCCACGCCTGGATGCCCACCCCACAGGGGACATGAGTGAGTGGGGAAGGGATGCTCTCAGGTGCCTCAGCCCCAGACACAGTAGAGTAGGATGCAGTCGTGGTGGTTAAGGGTGTAGAGGGTGTCGATTAAACCTGGGATTCTATCCTCTCCCTACTGGCTGAGTAACCTTCACCTAATCTTTCTAATTTTGAGTCCTCATGCTCAGGATACACAGTAAAAAGGCCCAGTGCTTCCCAGGGTGTTTTGGGGGTGAGAGCAAGCACCGAGTCAGTGCTAACATTCTTATTTGTCCTGTTGCTCAGGTACCACACCCCACCCTGCGTGGGGAATTAGAAAGGTCCTGTACCAGGTACTATGTTTCCGTGGGAGGGAGACTTCCGAGGACTCCTAAGGATGGGAGTTCAGCTCCTCACCTTCCCAAATCACCCAGCTTTCATAAGGCCTTGGTACAGGTTGCCCCACGATTGAGGGGGTTCAAATCCTGACCCAGCCCCTCCCAGCAAGACAACTGCTGGTTGAGTGGGCCCCTCTGAGAGCCTCCTCTGTCAGATGGGGAAAGCGGTTCCTCCTTGAGAGTTAGAGGTGGAGATTCAAGGGCACCGTGTGTGGAAAGTGCTTAGCACATTATTCTTGGCCAGACTGCAGGCACAACAAATAGTCGCCATTATTATTTCCAGGAAGAATAGTTACACAATAATATATTCTGTATAACATTAATTACATTAATTTACCAAAGCCATGATGATATCATCGGCAATTTATTACCAGTGATAATTACTATATTCAAATTAATTTTAATATATTACTATTGTTAGAGAATATTGTTAATCATTTTTATCTCTATCATCAACAGGGAAGCATAAATCCACCCCGCTGAAGAATATTATGTCCCACTCGGAAAGGCACGGCAAGGGGTGCTTGAGAAAGAGGTTGGCCTATTTCCCAACCTCCCCTAGACCTTAGGACCCCAGAACAGGGAACAGACTCACCCTCTGCACCCTTAACCATGACCGCATCCTACCTCTCTGGGGAGCTCTACTGTGTATGTTACAAGTGCAGCTTGTAACATCCACTGTGAGATCTGCCTGCTATTCCCAGCTCAACCACAAGGAGGCACCCAAAGCTAAACTGGAGGTAGGCCCAGGAGCAGGTGGTGTGTGTCTGTCTGTTTGTGTGACCCCACATTCCTCCTTCAGTACTTCCCACTTTCCCCAGCACAGTCATTGCTACAGACACTTCCTGGTTTGTGACATCTCAGGGTGGGGTTTTGGGGTGAAGTGTTTGGGAAACTGAAGTCTAACATGGGTAAAAGATTAAAACTCTGTCAGATTCCAACATCTAGCAAGTTCCAATAATTTCTGGTGGGAAGCAGAGCTCCCACCTGGTTGACATGCTCTAGAAGTTTGTCACTTGTCTCTGCAGACACTGAGGGCTGCTGTCTTGTTTGACCACTGTGGGATGCAGGGCAGTGGGGCAGGGGTGGGTGTTGGGGGGTTCCGCAGTGATAAAGCCAAGCAGAGGGATATTTTACTCTTTGCTGAGAGTTCACCCATTCTCTTCCTAACTGGACAGACTCAGAGTCCAGAGACCCACGTTTTGCCCCCCAGATTTGCCACATACCTGCTCTGTGACCTTAGATAAATCACTGTCCTTTAAGGGCCCAAGTAGGCCTCTGTCAGATCCCACTACTGTCCTGATCCAGAGGTCAGTGAAAGGCCCCAGGGCTTTTCCCTGGCCCTTAAGAGGCTCAGTGGACACCAGCAGCTCAGCCATTCTTACCTTGCTCTCCAGTACTCGTCGGAACTTGGATTCGATCTGGTTGTGGAAGAGATTCAGTAGCCAGCTGGGGAGAGGGAACAGTGGATGGTCAGCTGTGTGGCTCTAATGCAGGGGCAGGAAGGAAAGCCAGGCCCTGGCCTCTGGACAGTCCAATCCCCAAGGGAGCCCATCCCACCCAGCCTGGTGCTCTGCTATGTCCCAGAGGCCCAGATGAAACAAAAATGTGGAGACCCAGTTCCTAGCTCACTCACTGATTCAGACACCTGGCATCTCAGTTCCTGCTGTACCCCAAATAAATTCAGTAGATTTGGGGGAGGGGCCTAGGAATCCACATCTTTCTATATATGGAAACTGAGACCCAAAAGGACTTGCCCCAGGGTTTGTATATATTTCCCTAAACTCTCCTTTGGCCAAAAACCTTTATATTTCTCCAATGGCCAAATTTCATTCATCTGCTGATGGTCCCCTAAAGTTTGTTTTTTTTGGTGGAAATGACACACCAATACCCCTGGCTCAAATCACACCCATTCATCTCAGCTGTGTTCCCCAAAGGATGACCTCCAAGTGCCCTTGATGTGCCAGGGCATCGTATCTTGGTCTTGCGCTAATCAGAGGCCAGGCCTTGGACTGGATGTGGGAGGGTCAAGTTGGCAGTGTCCCGTGGTGGCCTACCTCACGTCTCCTGACACATGCACATCCACATCCCTGATGTGGCTGCTGCAGCTGGAGGCAGTGACCGTGGGTCTCCCAGAAGAATCACTGCCCAAGAGAAGGTTGAAGGAAATGGAGATGCCTTTGACCTGCAAATCAAAGGACCCTTGTAGTCTCCTGGAGGAGAAAAAACAAATAACAGTTGATTCCTCGACCAAGGTCAGTCACCATTTCGGTGGAAAATATAAAGTTTAGTTCTTACCCCTAAAATGAGTGGAACTGACACAAAAACTTAAATCATGAAAAATTATTACAAATATGACAATGGAAAGACTTAATACAAATAAGATACTAAAGATCAAGAAGCAAGACTGGGTTTGTGGTCAGAGATACACAAAGGCCTTTCCAGGCAGGATCCAAATCTCAGAAGCCATCGGGAAATGACTAATAACCTTGCCAACAGAGAAAATGAAAACTTCAGTGACCAAAACTGTGCCATAGGCAAAGTAAATAATAGAATTGCATCACAAGCCAAAGAGCTAATTTCCTTACCATGTGAGGTAAAATATGAGCTAATTTCCTTAATATACAAAGACAAGCCATTAGTGCAGAAAGGAGAAGACAACCCAACAGGAAAAAGGGGAGATCGAAGATATGAGGGGGAAGCTTAATTGCATATAAGCACGTGAAAAGTTATTAAAAATGAAAATAATAATGATGCCAGTTTTCCCCTATCAGGTGGGTAAAACTTTTTTTTAAAAAAGATTTATTTATTTATGAATACAAGAACTGGGGTTGAGGCCAGAGGCATGGGAGGGTGAGAGGATTCACCAGAGATAGAGTGGGGAGCAGAACAGGCGAATTGACTTAAATACACTGCTGAGGGGAGCAGCAGGTGAGTCATGAGAGGTCTGCTGCGCCATGTGGGTAGCTCCCTGGCTGGGGATCGAACTTGTGCTGCAGTGGCTGTGGATAGCTTCATAGGTTATGTCTTAACCAGTTGTGCCATCAGGGAGTCCCAGGTGGGTAAGACTTTTGAGTATTAATGCCCATTGTTTGTGAAGATCAAGCAGCCCCACACATGGTAGGGGTTAAGCATGCCTGAAGTGCCAGATGCAGGGGGTGTCTATCCATATATCTTTGACCCAGTAACTTGACTTCATGACTTTACTCTGTGGCTCCTCCTCCCAAGGTGTATGTGTGTGGCAGTTCACTCAGGCATGATGGGGAATAGCAAAAAAAGAAGGAAACCACTTAAATGTCAACGAGTAAGGGTAGGTTCAGTAAGTCACGGGCATCTCAGATCTATGACTGTTAAAAGGAATGCGGCCAAGGGTGTCTAGCTGCACTGTGAGATATGACTCATCCAACAGAAGGAAGTACTGCCCATGCCAGAATGCAGGTAAAACTCAAAAATATTATGCTAAGGTGGTATTGGAACAAGAACAGACATACAGACCAATGGAATCGAATAGAAAATCCAGAAATAAATCCACAGATTTATGGTCAACTAATCTTTGACAAAGGAGCAAAGACTATGCATTGGAGCAAAGAAAGTTTGTTCAATAAATGGTGCTGGGAAAACTGGGTCGCTACATGCAAAAGAATGAAGCTTGACCACTACCTCACACCATACACAAAAATCAACTCAAAATGGATTAAAGAACTAGACATAAGACCTGAAACCATAAAATATATAGAAGGAAATATAGGCGAAACACTACGTGATCTGCACATCAAAGACATCTTTACAGACACATCACCCAAAGCAGTGATAGTGAAGGCAAAGATAAACAGCTGGGACTACATCAAATTAAAGAGCTTCTGCACAGCAAAAGAGACAATAACAAAAACAAAGAGAAACCCCACCAACTGGGAGAACATTTTTGCACCCAACACTAATGATAAAGGACTGATCACAAAAATCTGCAAAGAGCTGATGAGACTCAGCAACAACAAAGAAAATAATCCAGTCAAAAAATGGGCAGAAGAGCTAAAAAGAAACTTCTCTGAAGAGGAAATGCAAATGGCCAACAGGCATATGAAAAAATGTTCAACATCACTTGCCATCAGGGAAATGCAAATCAAAACTACCATGAGATACCATCTTACACCAGTGAGAATGGCACATATTAAAAAAACTAGCAACAACAAATGCTGGCGAGGGTGTGGAGAAAAAGGAACTCTTCTGCACTGTTGGTGGGAGTGCAAACTGGTCCAACCACTGTGGAGAGCTGTGTGGAGATTTCTGGACCTACTAAACATAGAGCTTCCATATGATCCAGCAATTCCACTCCTAGGTATTTACCCAAAGGACACAGAAACATCAATTCCAAAGAACACCTGCACCCCTATGTTTATAGCAGCACTGTTTACAATAGCTAAGCTTTGGAAACAACCCAAATGCCCAAAAATAGATGACTGGATCAAGAAGATGTGGTACATATATACCATGGAATATTACTCAGCATTCAAAAAAGATAAACACATGCAATTTGCAGCAACATGGATGGCGCTGGAAGGGATCATGCTCAGCGAAATAAGCCAAAAAGAAAAAGAAAAATACCGGATGGTCTCACTCATAGCAGGAATCTAGAAAACTTAAATAAGGGACCAGGAAAATGAATAACTATAAGAAAGTGAAAATCAAAATCAACAAAAAACTATGAACCAGAGACACTTTTATGGGGGCGGGGGCGGGAGGGGAGGGATTGGGGTCAGAATGGGGGGCTGCAATTGTATGGGGAATATAACAATAAAATTTATAAAAAAAAAAAAAATATTATGCTAAGGGAAAGTAGGCACCTAACATGGCACACAGCAGACGATTACACTGATATGAAATAGCCCAAATGGGTAAATCCTTAGGGACCTGACATATACAGTTGATGGCTGCCAGGTTGGGGGAAGACGGAGGTGGGGGTGACTGCTTTGTGGGTCTGGAGTGATCTCTTGGGGTAAGATGATTTGGAACTAGGTTGAGGTCATGGTTGTATGACATCGTGAATGCACTAAATGCCACTGAATTGTGTACTTGAAAATGGCTAGTTTTATGTTATGTGAATTTCATCTCAACAGAAATATACATTTATCTGTTTTTTTGTGGGACCCTTGCCGGCGGCCAGGGAATGAACCGGTGCTGCAGAGGCTGTGGGCAGCCTCACAGCCCAGTGCTCAACCGCTGCGCCACCAGGGGAGGCCCTATACATTAATCTTAAAATGACATTGCTATCACATTCGAAAAGGCAGTATCATTCCAAATGTAATTAACATAACATTTATTAATGAGAATTCTCATGTTCTTTTTTGAACTAGAGCTTCAAAAGCAGTGTTTCACACTTACAGCAGCTCTCGATTTGTACCAGTATTTTCAAACACTCAGTAAAGACATGTGACTCGAAGCTTCTGCATTGGACAGTACAGGTCTAAATGCTGGTCATCCAGAAGAGCTTGATCTGCCCTTCTGTTATGGGCTAAATTGTGTCCTCACCCCTCCCCCCAAAACCATATGGTGAAAGCTGAAACCCCAGAACCTCAGAATGTGGTTATATTTGAGACAGACCTTTATAGAGTGATTATGTAAAAATGAGGCCACTGAGGTGGGCCAGAGTCCAATCTGACTGGCGTTCTCAAAAGCAGGGGGGATTAGAAACAGAGACACCCAGGCGCGTGCCCACAGAGGGCTGTTTAAGCTGCCAGTCTGTGATATTCATACAGTAGCCCAGGCACACTAAGCCACCAGGGTTAATGGAGAGGTCAGAGGTCAGTGGAGAGTTCAAAGTGCTAGAGGGTCAGTACCTCGGGGTGGGGGGGTGGGGGCTGCCCTTGACCAACAGCAAACAGGGCCGAGCTGGGGTAATTCAGAGGTGTGCTATCTCCAAAAGTCTGCCAAGTTTACTCCCTGCCTCCCTTCCCCACACTCCCAAGGACATTTCCTTAGGGCATTTCCCAGATAAAGTACATGCACTTGAATTCTTGACTTGGTGTCTGCTGCTGGGGGGATGCAGACGCAATGTGATCTCACCTAGCTGGCCCACAACTCCACCCGGGAAGAGAGGGGAGAGACTCATCCAAACCAGTGTCCAGGTGGACACTAGTTCACCGCTGGACATGGGCTCCTTCAGTCCCCCATGGGGACTTTCCGATGAGCTAGTAACACCCGGGCCCAAGAAGGATGAATGTTGTGTGTGGGCAATGTCAAGGGCCCAAGGGCTGGGGAGCAGAGTCAACTTACACGAAAGATTTGCGCGCCTTCCATCTGCCCTGCACCCTGATGTTGGAGTTGGAGACGGAGAAAGCCAGGCCCTGGCCAGGGAGGGGTTTCAGAGAGGAACCCCGCAGCTCACAGCTGTGGATTTGCAGACTGGGGAGAGACACACAGAGGGCAGTGTCAGGCATGACCTGTGTCCAGACAGGCAGGGAGCTTGCTCTCACCCCGCCACCCCCTTCAGGGAGATGAGCCAGCAGGGGCTGCTTCAGGCAGGTGTCTGGCTACTTCCCTACAGAGAGCCTGCTGTGCACCCTGCGTGGCCTTGCTTAATACTTTACATGTTATGTCAGCTAGGCCTTGCACTGAGGGTCAGCATTTTTCTTGCTCCTTTTTTACAGAGCGGGGGATAGAACCTCTAGGAAGGGGTGGTTTGCCTGAAGTCACCAGTCAAGAGCAGAGCCCAGAAATCTCTCCCTCCTGGGTAGAACTTGCAGTAGAACCTATAGCAGCACCACATTTTATTTGCAGGCCCTTCACCCAGCCAGCTAACATCTAAGATGACACACACTATGAAGCTGTCAGTGGGAAAGAAATTGATCAAGTTCTACTCTATTTGTCTGGCACATAGTAGGTGCTCAAATATTTGCTGCTCTGGGCTCCACTGCCCTCCCTCCATTGCCCATCCCTCAAGTTAGTGTTTCGTGCCTCTTTTAGAGTCAGCTGTTCTTGTCTGGTAATCCTTCGAAGACAGCTCAAATGCCACCGCCTCTGGGAAGCCTTCTTTGACTCCCCCAGATGGACAAACCTCAGCGCCGACAGTGGAATACTTATATTTAAGGTTTAAGTTCTATCTTCCCCTCTGGACTACATTTGGCAACTAGACCAGAACCTGGGTTAGCCCCCAGGAGGCAGCTGTGCCACCCCGGTCTTACACATAGGGAAATGGAGACTCAGGCCACACAGCTAGCACATCTCGACTAATATTTGTTGCACACATGAATGGAAGAGTCCGATTCCTCCTGAATGCTTCAAAGAACTCCCCCACTGTCTTTCCCAGAGAGGTCCTGACTCAGTTCTGAGACTCTTTCTTTCTCCTTCCCGCTTCAACTCCTGCCCCCGCAGTGGGACACTCACCTGCGAAACTCATAGTTGCCTTTGCCGATGTATTTGATCTTGAAGTCCCCCGTGAAGTCAGGCAGCATGAGTTTGTACAGCTTGCTCTGCAGGGCCTCCAACCCCTCCTTGGCCGCTGTGGACAGGAAAAGCTGGGAGTCAGCCTGCTCTGCCCACCTCCCTCCCTCTAAGTCCTTCGTGCCTCCTGCGGGCCCTAGGGAGAGGTTGACTTCCTTCTTAGCACTAATTCCAGTTACAGCCCAGGGACCCCTCTTGCAGACCCGGTGTCGAGAAACAGCCAGGAGCCTCTTTGCCTCTCCGGTGCTGCTGCTGTGTTCCTGCCCTTCCTAGGGGTGAGGACACAGAACGTTTGTCAGCAGCTCCGCGAGGGAGGACAGCTGTGTGCTGGGTGGGTGATCTCTTTCTTGTCCTCCCTGGCACCTAGCCTGTTTCAAAAATGCTGCAGGGATTTTAGGACTGGATGTTGGATTTTAGGATCCTGGAGTTGGTATCTTTCTAGCTGGTGACCTTGAGCAAGTTCATCATCTTCACGTTCTCCACCTGTCAAATAGCAATCATAACAACACTTTCCTCACTGGGGAGGCATGAGGATGAAAGGACATCATTGCAAAGCAAAAAGGGGACTGGTTAGACAAAAAGGACTCCGAGCTCAGGCCCTGGCACACAATAGGCACTCGGTCGATGCCTGCAACAGCAAAGCAAAGCTTACATCGTGAGAGTCATAGAAAGGGCCAAAACAGCTCCAAGGGACTAGTTAAATAGACACAGTACATTCTTATGGTGAAAGGAGCAGAAGGCAAACTGTGCTTGATTTAGGGTTTCAATATAAACAACATTGACCAAGGTCCTCTGTGTATCCCGAAGTGTGAGGAATCCAGGATTCTGCCCTCAGAGAGAGGAGATCATAGATCACTGGCCGCCCCTCCTACCTCTTTCCAACTTGCTCTCCTCCCTCTAATACATGCACATGCTGGTGTCAGAATGCTGTCCCTTGTCTCTGGCTACCTCCCGCTTATCTTTTCTACCTCCTCCAAGAAGCCTTCTCTAATTTTCCTTGCTCTGCCCTTCGCCAGTCTGGGCTCCCAACAATGCTGCCAGAAGGGACGTTATCACCCCCATTTAACTGATAAGGCAATGGAGGCTCCACAAATGTGAGGCACAGCCCTGGATCAATGGCTGTGGTGCATAAATACCTCGGCTCCCTGGCCCCTCGGAAAGATTAATGATAAGGTTTTGTTTCACCAGCTGAAAAAAAATAATCTTACTACTTATCACTAGTCCATTCTTTTAAGTTGAGGATGACTTACAAAGAGTAGCTGAAGGGCACTAATCTTCAAGGCATTGCTAGATGAGTAATTCTTGGTCTTAAATGTCCACACCCATGTAAGGAGAGAGGGTGTTTGTCCATACACCCACCGAGAACACATTTCCAGTGCTAAAGCTTCCCTTCTGCCTTTCGAGTTTGGTCCCTGCCTCTGGAGGTAACCACCATCCTGACTTCTGGTTTTAAAGCACATGTTTTCTAACGTTACCAAAAATGTTCCAGCGAAATTGTTCCAGTCACGCGGGGGGCAGTAGCTGGTTTAATAAGGTACCTCTCCTGGCTGCCCTCCCTCCCCCGCTCACATTCCCGCTCACCCCCAGGGTCCCTCTCATTCCTGGAATTATGTCCCAAACCAATCACTGGCACCCAAACCCTTCCCTCTGTTTGCTAGCGGGGAGCTCAGTGGGGACAAACAATGTGTCCAAGTCACTCAGTGCTTAGGTGACCCCGGGCCAGAATCCGACCCGGGGCTGCCTGACCCGGAGGCTGGTCATACCACCCAGAGGGAGCGTGCCCCGCCTGTGCCCCTCCGCTGAAGCCAGAGCGGTCTGTGCCACGAAGGTCAGCCAAGTCCAACAGCAGCCACGGCTCCTCACCGTACTCCAGGCCCTTGTCAGTGATCCGGGCGGCCAGGCCAGGGCTGGCAGCCAGGGCTCCAGGGGTGCATGTGAGCAGTGCTGCCAGCAGCAGGGACTGCAGGGATCCAGCTGACACCCCCATCCTGGCTACTCAGTGAGGCGGCCGGACTGTCACAGCTGCGCTGGGCCCAGCTCCCTTAAGTAGAGGAAGCCACAGGGGTGAGGGGATGCTCCTGAAAACGGAAATGGGAGGTGCAGAGCAGGTGTTTGCAACACGCTGGAGTCATGGGTCACACTTAGAGACCTGTATCACTGCCCTGGGTTGGCCTAGCTCCAGGCAACACTCTCCAGCCACCTTCCCAGAAACATCCCTCTCTCTTTGCTAGGAAGGCCTGGCTGTAGGCTAAGAGCCAGGCTCAGGGAGGCCAAGTCACTCCCTCAAGATCACCCCCAGCACGTGGTAGAGCTAGGAGGCAAAACAGCTCCAGGACTATGCACATTCTTTCCTCTTTCTCTGCAAATTTTTTTTTTTTTTTAAAGCAATGGTCCCCCTGCTCCTACTCTCCCCTCTTCAGGAAGAGAGGTTTTCTCAAGCCTTGCTGGTGGTTAAATTTTCTGGAAGCCACATTGGCAATTATTTAAATATCTGCATGGCTGGTGAAACAGCAATTCTGCTTCTGGAAGTTGACACTAGTTACATCATTTAGTCTATATGCAAATGTGTCGTGGCCAAGAAGTTCCTTGCTGAACTGTGTGAAATTCAGACACAGAAGTGGGGCCCAGGGCAAAGTGACCAGGCAGAGAGCCTTGGCACAAGCCGCTACTGTGCATTTAACCCAAGGCTGCAGAAATAAGTGTATCAATTTCTTGATACACAGAGATGGTCACAGGGTGGTGGGGTTTGGGGCCATCTGTTTCCAATGGCACCACTTCTACTTCTTTGTTCTAGTCCCAAATTTACCTATTTGAAAAATTTCTAACAAGGGAGTTAGCAAGGATTGTCATGGGCAGGAATATAATTTTGCTTGTTGGTTTTTAAATTTTCTATTTTCTTGGGGCTAGTTCTAGGGACATATATTTATTATAGATAAAGATAGGAAAGTTTCACTTGGAAAAACTGAATTGATAGTAGGGACTGTGCTAATTTCATAGGGATCCCAAGAGGACTCCTTCACTTCGTGAGCTTTGTTTTGCCTCCTCCTCCAGGAAGCCTTCCCTGATCACCCCCACACACATTTCCTTAGATTAGAGAGCAGTCATCCTCTGAGGTCCCAGAATGCTCTGCATGTTCTCCGCCATAGCGTTAACCACTCTCTGCTTTTCTGTAATTATGGTCCTTTAAAGATAAGCCTACAAATTCTTTGATACACTTCCCATCAAAAGGTGTAATCTGCGTGCCCTTCCCTGGAAATTGTGTGGGTCTTTGCTATCTGCCCCAACAAACTGACTGTGACAGGAGACAGTTTCTTGCCAGTGTGTCAATAAGAGGCACTGGAATTGGGAGAAGATGGATCCTTACCCTGCTGAGCACAGGGAGCCCATGGCCTGGTCCTTCTATCCTCTGTAGCGTGAAGGTCTTGTCCTTCAGGCTGAGGTTTGTCTGGGTCCTATCCTTTCCTCCCCATTCCCTACTCTACTCTCTCTCTCTCTCTCTCTCTCTCTCTCTCACACACACACACACACACACACACACACACACACACTGGCCTGGGTGCTCCTGGGAGCAGGGCAGAGCCGTCTGAATCCATGGTCCTTTCTGATCAGGAGGAACTGGCAGGAAGGTGATACCTACTGAGCAGCTACCTACTATGTGCCAGTCGCCACACTGGTTATGCCCCCTGGCTCCCCTTGCCCTGTAGCAGTCTCTACGGTAGACACTGTCTCATTTTGAACCAAGGCGTCTGTGAGGAGATATCTGAGCTGAGAGCCTAAGGATGAGAGGGAGCCGGCCTATGGAAGAGTGAGTTCAAGGTCAGTAGAGGGTCAGGACAAAGGCTGGCTAGCAACAAGTGCTTCCCAGAGGCTCCCAAAGTCCTAGGGGTGTCTGCTTCCTTGGCTCAGCCTGCCAAGTCGGGAGGTGTCCTGGGTTGGAACTGGGGAACCTGAGTTCCAACCTGGCTCAGTTCCTGCCTGGCCATGTGACCCTCAGCCAACCTTATTTCTGCTTTGTGCCTCAGTTTCTCTCTGTAAAATGATGGGGACCGAGGAGATGATTCCCATGGGCCTTTCCAGCTTGGACAGTGGGAGATCTAGTCTGGAGAGTGGGACCTCCAGGGGACACAAAGGTCAGTCTTCCTCTGGCAACACTGAGGATGTTCCTGGTGAGGGGCCATGCAGGGGCGGAAATTCCCACAGCAGCAACCTTTGGGTCAGAGACTGCCCGAGTCAGCCAGCATGCTGCATGGCCCCAGGGCTGGCCTCACCCCCACAGGTGCCCAACCCTGGCTCTAGGTCCCAGCAGAGGCCCCTGGGGGCAGCATGACCCCAATGCTGGTCAGAATCGCCAGCCTTTCTTCTCCCAGGCTGTCCATCCACCTGGTGACACCTGCAGCTGCCATGGCTCAGCTGTGAAAACGCTCTCCCTTTGACCAGGAAGCGTGTTTGTTGTCTTCTGATTACGAAAGTATTGGTTGAAAAGAATTGGAAAAACACAGAATTTGGAAACTGCAGCGTCTGGAATATTGAGCTGCACACATGCTAAAGAGATGTTGAAAGAGCACATGCGCACAAAGCAGGACAGTGTAAGGTTGGGGACATGGACTCTGGGACCAGATGCCTGGGTTTGAATCCTGACTCACCCACTATGTGACTCAGTGCTCGGTCTAAGAGCAGCACGACGGGAGGCCAGAGGTCAAGAAGAGAGCAGTCAGAACATTCTCCCCTGCTGCTTCCTCCTTTAAGATGGGGGTCTGGCAGCGGCTGTGTTACTCCTGAACCCCTCACCTGAGGTTCCAGTCTCTCCGAAACTTGGGCGTACCCCATCTCTTTGCTTTGCTGCTTCAAGTCTAGGGATGCAGGTTCCAGGGGCTTGGGCATCCTTAAGCCCATCTCCCAACTCTACAAATAGCCCCTTAATTCAAATCCCAAGAAGCATCTGAGCTGGACTATCATTTCCTGCCTAGATGCTGATGGACACGTCAGCACACTGGCCGTCCCCTCTGCCCCACTGCTCTTTTGAGCAGATAGTTGTCCCCTGTTTCTAATTCTTCTCCTAAGTCTGTGCAGGTCCTCTGTGGAGACAGCAGACTTCACAAGGCAGGGCTGAAAACACACAGCAACCACACTCCTTCACGCAGGAGGTCCCTGGGGCCATGGGGGGAGGTGGGGACATGCTGTGGGATCTTGAAGGTCACACGGAGGAGAGGTCCTGGACAGAGCAGCGTGGCCTGAACTCAGAGCCATAAAATGAGAAGCACCAGCAGCAGGAAGCCTGGGTCCTTACAGGCACAGCTCCTGACGCTGTGTGACCCTGTGTAATCCTGTGTGATCCTCATTTCCCTCCAAATGCAGAAATGGACAGCATTTTTCAAGTCATCCCAGGATCTTGTTTATTTATTTTTAAATTTATTTTTATTGATCTATGATTGACATGTAAGATGAAGGTATATTTATACTTACAGATTTGATACATTTATATAGGGCAATATGACCCCTTCCACCACGTCACATATTCATTTCTCTTTTGTGTTGGGAACCATTAAGATCTAGTTTCTCAGCAATTTGAAGTGTATAATATAGTATTGTTGTCTATAATCACTGCGCTGTGCACTAGATCTCTTAGTCATCTTTTAGATCCAAGTTATACTCTTAAATAAAAATTCTCCCACCTCCCAGCCTCTGGGACCTGCCATCCTACTTTTTTACCAGTTCAGCTTTTTTAGATTGCGCATACAAGTGATATCATACAGCATTTGTTTTCCTTTGTCTGTCTGACTTAGCTCATTTAGCATAATGTCCTTAAGTTCCATACACATAATTGCAAATAGCAGGATTTTCTCCTTTCTTGTGGCTGAAAATATCCGTGTGTGTGTGTGTGTGTGTGTGTGTGTGTGTGTGTACCACAGCATCTGCACTTAGAGAAAAGGGGACCTGTGAGCACTGTTGGTGGCAATGTATATTGGTGCAGCTACTATGGAGGTTTCTTAAAAAATTAAAATTTGAACTAACAGATGATTCAGCAATTCCACGTCCGGGTATATGCCTGGAGGTGATGAAAACGGATCCTGCAGAGTATGTGTACTCTCGTGTTTATTGCAGCATCATTCACTGCAGCCAAGAAACAGGAACAGCCTAAGTGCTCACTGATGCTGGCTGGATGAAGAACTCGTGCTATATATGTATTTACACGCATGTACACACTCACACACACACATACACTCACACACCAGGATCAAGTTGAAATGCAAATTCTGGTTCATCAGCTTCCTTTGGGGGCCAGGACTCTGCATTTCCGATAAGCTTCCAGATGAGGGTAATCTTGGACTGTGCTTAGAGAACAAGAGACGAAGCGAGGTCCAAGTTCCCTCCCCGCTCAGCAGTTCTCTAGCTGGGTTCACTCTCATTTTAAGCGCAGTTTTCTGTGATGGCGCCACCCTCCTGAGAACACTGGGTCAGGCTGGGAGAGAATGATGCTATGCGGACCCGCAGTTCTGGATCCCTGTAGGGTTTTCTGGGGTGGAGGTTTAGAAATAGATGGCAGCTTTCCCCCAAGTCCCACTATAACCTGCAGATACACACACACACACACACACATATACATGCACACACACACACATACAGCCGGAGGCATGTGGGTTTACAGAAGAAAAATCATACTGCCAGTGACAAGCCAGTGCTGTCTGACGTTCTGAGTCACCTACTTGGGATGCCAGGGGACCCCCGAGAGCAGGGCTGGCTGTGTGGATGCACAGCCCTTCACCCAGGGGGCTCTAAGGAACCTGAGGACCCTCCCATCTCTCCCTCCACCTCCTCTCTGCCTCTGCAATTGGCAGCAGCCAAAATCCCAGCAGTAGCCTCAATTTACTGGGTCTTGACAGCTTGAGGACCCCAAGGAGCTTCTGTTAAAATGAAAATTTCTCAGCAAGAAGACATTCTTTAATATTTTGCCAGAGCCCACTTTATTGGATTCCTTTCCTGGAATTCCAGAGGGTACTTGCTTTATAGATGGGGGAGCTGAGGCCTAGAGAGGGAGAAGGATGGGCCCAGGTCACACTGTGAGCCCAGCACTGCACGCCTTCATTTCTGGGCCAGGCGGCGGCTCTGTTCTTGGCATCAGACCTTCCAGGCAGGCAGCTCCAGATCAGGTTTTGAGAATCACTGACTTCATGGCTTCAAGCCATACATATGTGGATTCAGCAGCATAGCATTTAAAAAATAAGTACTTATTGCGCACCTACTCTGTGCCAGGCATTGGGCTCCACCTCTGACAAGCCAGCGACAGTCCTTACAGCATAGCAAGGAGCACTCGGTTTACTGATACTTGGAGCTGGCTTTGGTTACTACTTATCAGGTCCTGTAACACAGACTTCACATATATTTGAATTTTATAAAACCCTGTGAGGTAGGTACTAGTCTCATCCTTACTTTATAGATGAGAAAATTGAAGGCCAGAGAGTCAATCATCCAAGGTCACGCAGCTGGTAAAAAGCAGGATTGGGAGTTGAACCCACAGTGTCTGGGAACACAGCTCATGCTCTCAACCATGGGGCTGTGGGCTTGTTAACTGTCCACTGACTCCTCCCAGTCACCTCATGCCAAAGAGGAGGGTGAGGTTTTATTTTCACTTTTCAGAGAAAGGGGAGGATCAGAGAGGTTAAGTAGTATCAGGAGAGTTGTGCAGCCCATGACATTTGAAACTAGGCCCAGACAACTCTGTAGCCCAGGCTCTGAGCACTGAGCTTGTGGCCTCAGGCAGGCCACATAATCTCCCTGAACTCCAGACTCCTCCCAGGGCAGGCCACTCGTGGCCACTCATGGGATGAGGAAAAGTGGTGAACACAGAGGTTAGTCTCCCCATGATCCACCCCAGTCTCTCCTCTCCTGGGGTACCCTTCCCTCTTATTGAAGTCACTGTTTCCAAAAGGACCCCAAGGCAGAATGCTTCGCCCAGAAGGGAAGCTGCTCCAACGATGAGCATTCAGGCCGTCTGCAGTGGGCAATTGGGCAATTATTTCTTGCACAGCTCTGTGACAGGGATTTCACAGAGGGGGGCGTTTACCCACTTACAGTGTGTAGTCAGTGGTTTTCAGTATATTCACAGACTTGTGCAACTACCACTGCAACCTAAGTCTAGAACAGTTTCAACACCCCCAAATAGGAGCACCATCCCCTTCACTGGTTATATGGAGCGGGTGAGGCTTAGCCTGAAGGGAGCAGCGGCCCAAACAGTGGTGTTGTAGGTGGGCAGGTGGATGATTTGGAGTGTGGTGGAGAATGTTCTTCAAATGTTCTCAAACAATTGCCTGTTCCTCAGCCATTCAAGGGAGGTTCCCAGGGCAAGGGGTGTCTACTCACCAGTCTTCAGGTGCAAGAAATATTGCATGTTTCCTATAGGAAGTGGGGCAGACGTTGCCACAATGTTTCTGAAAGTTGAGGGTAGGTTTGGGAGGGACCATCTACCTCCAAAAGAATGGAGGAGAGGAAGGGGGGGTGGGGGGCTGCAGGGCTGTGTCCCCTGTACTAACCAGCTATGTTCCCTACACGAACCAGAGGGGTCTTTTGAAAATGTGAATTAGTTATTGCCATTCTCTTGCTCAAAACACTCCAATGGCTTCTCTTAATTTTTAGAACAAAATCCAGAGTCCTTAACAGTCTCAAAGGCCTCTGAGTCTCACCCATGCTGTGCTCCTCCTGATTCTTTTCCTTCTAGTCTCACTGTCTGCTTTTCAGTTCCTATTCAGCAACTCCACAAGCCTTTGGCAAACAGAGAAAGATGCACACTTTTGGTGGACAAATTAGAGAAAGCATTTTGTTCCCTTAGCCTGATGTCTTTTTATAGTGCACAACTTATGCAACTGAACACAGCAGTCTTGCCTTAAATTTGTCAAGTCCCAGAGAAGATTTTGACTTGTGGCCGGGGTGGGAAAAGCATGGACTCTAATAGTAGAGACAGTGGAAATCCCAGCTCTGCCACCTGCCAGCTGTGCGATCCAGGGAGAGTGACTCCATCTAAAAGAACTGACCCATTCTCAGCTGGGGGGATGGAGAGTGGGGTGAAGATGACACAAAATCCTTCATGTGCTGTGCATCCTCCCTTCCAATGTGGTCCCAGAGCCTTTACCTCCACTTAACAGAGAGTAGATGATATTAGCAGAAGTGCGTATATTTTTTTTTCTAAGATTTTTTTTAATTATTTATTTATACAAGCACTGGGTACAGTCAGAAGCGCAGGAAGGTGAGAGAATTCACCAGAGCCAGAGTGGGGAACAGAACAGGCAGACTGACGAAATGCACTGCTGAGGGGAGCAGCGGGTGGCAGGAGAGGTCTGCGCGCCATGTGGGACCCTCGCAGGCAGCCGGGGATCGAACCTGCGCTGCAGAGGCTGCGGGCAGCTTCGCAGCCTAGTGCTCAACCGCTGCGCCGCCAGGGGAGGCCCAAGTGTGTATATTTTTTAAAATAAAAAAATTTAAAGCATCTTTTTATCTGCTTTTCTGCATTGCAAATGTTTCTCTCCATTTTTACTATCACTGTGGATGAATTCTGAATAATAACAGACTCTATTTCTACCCCTGTCCCTCCAGTGCTTTAGAAGTCACAACAGGATATTTAAAAATGAAATCTGGTCATGTCAACTTATAACCCACTGCCTGCTTAACGCTATCCAGATGTGTCATTGTTCACCCAAAAGCTACAGAGGCTGTCTGGGATTTATCGATCAATTTGAGGCACAATGGCGTTAAGACCCATGCAGTAGCCCGAGACAGGCACACCTGATGCCCTGTGGTAGGAAGTGGCCTAGAGCCCCTAAGGAAATTCACCAAGAGTCCTGGCCTGAGCATCTGGTTTCCATTCCAGCCTGGAGAGTCTTGGGGAAGTGTTAATTGCAACTGAGGATGTGATTGACTGAAAAAACTTCAAGGGTGTCTGTCCCTTGGCCCAGTGTTCTGCTTTGGGCACAATGGCTGGACAGGAGAGCATGGACTAAGGGAGCCATCACATGCATGTGACTGTGTAGGGGCAAGTGTTTGTGTGTAGGTTGTGCAGGATAGCTGTTCAACATCAAAGCCCATTGGTGGTGATGGAGCCATGGTCACAGTGACTACACAGGAAGACAACGGGCTGTGCAGAATCATTGTTCAACAGTGACACCATGAGGCAGTAGCAGGAACAACAGTCCAGTGGATTGAGGTTATATTAGGAAGCAAGACTTTCCTTTTGAGCCAAGTAAGCCCAAGTACTCTTGGGCAGTGCAGAATGAGGGATGTCCTAAAAAATGGACATTAGGAGGCAAGTGGGGGCTCAAGAGAGTAACTAGAGAAATAAAAAGAGGTGATTATATCTGTGCTGTGAACTGCCATAACATACCAGTTCGGCCAACAATTGAATGAATGGACATAAAACAAGAAACAAACCATCACACAGAATTCCACAGTAAAAAACAAATGTTGTTGTTGTGTGTGTATCACAAAAAGAAGTATTGTGGTTACAACGGAAACACAATTCCTAGAGGAAATGTGCATGCAGCAATAGCCCTTAGAAGAAGTTCCAAGGGCTTCACACCACCACTTTTCCAAGGAGCAAGGTCCCCTGTGTTTAGATCATTTTTGAATCTGAATTCAGAGGAGTCTTCAAGGGGTTCTGCATCAAGAACGAGAGAGGGATGGCTGGGAAAAGGTGGGCCGGCTGGAATGGGTGCTGACAGCACCTCACCTGGGTGGCTGACAGCCCCACCACCCTCGGCGACTTCAGCTGTAGTCAACATCTGCACCGAACAGCAGGAAATCCTAGGAGAGATGGGAATGCTGTCACCGGCTGAATGTGCACCCCTTGTTTGTGATGTGGGGCTGCTCTGCTGGGTTTTAGAAGGAAACTTCGAGAGCCTGCCAGTTGGGAAGGAGGAGCAGGGTGGGGCGAATGGAGAGGCAGGGGTGAGCCTGGGGCGCTCAGGTCTTGCCACTGGGGTCTGCACACCACTGGCTGCCATGCCCCTGATTCTGTCAGCAGCTTCACTGGCAGCTGTTTCCTTCTCAGGCGTGGAGACCCCGGGGCTGCTGTGGAGGCTTCATTTGTCATCCTGGCCTCATGGTAGCCCAAGGGAGCTTTTGTTCTGATCAAGGCTGCAAAAATACTTCTCTTGGCTCCTTTGCGCCCTTCACTCAGAATTTTCAGAAATGAAGAAATTAAATTGTGCCGTGGGGGTCTTTGTTTTTTTCCTTTCAGTACCGTGTCGGGAGCATGGGCATGCGTTCCTTTGTTCTTTCCACTATTTCTCTACAATCTCTTAGCCCCACAGGCTCTCTGGTCTACAGGATGATTGGGTGGTGGCGGTGAGGGAGGCTGAGAAGTCTGGGTGACATGGGGGCTTCCCATGAGGGCCACGAGGTTATCAGAAAGCCACTGACCAAGGAAAATGCTATGGTGGGTGATGGTTTCACTGCAGAGAGATCAGCTTTGGGACATGCCAGATTTTAGGGGTCTCGGGGTAAAGCCACTGGGGATGCCAACAGATGCACAAGCCAAGAGGGTGGCAGAAACGAGAGGCAGGGCTGGGTCACAGGATGGCACCAAGGAGACTCTTGAGCCTGGGTAGTTTGATGAAAGTGAACAGGGAAAGCCAATTTTGGGGGATGAGACTCTGCAGGGAACCCTGAGAACTCCCTCTGGCAAGGAAGGGGAAGGAGGAAGCAGCAAGGAAGAGGCTGGAAAACCAGAGCAAGACTCTGAAGTTAAGAGAGGAAACACTCCATGAATGGGGTAAATGTGTCAAATGCTATTGGGGCCCAGGCTGGAGGAAGACCAGAGGAGGTACACTCTTTGGTTCCCCGTGTTTAGATCCACACCAGGGATTGCAAATCCACCTGACACTGACCACACTTCATACCCTACCTGCCCAGAATGAGGCTAGATGCAAAGGAAGATTGATAATGCATGTGTCAATATTTATACCCATCTGCCTTAGGGAAGAGGCTCTGTGGCCACCCAGGAGTTACGTTTCACCACGCACAGTGTCAGACGGATGCAGCTGATGGTTCAAAGTAGACATCTGCCTTTGACTCTGGCCTTCACTGAGTAGCCGGTGACTTTTCTGAGTCTCAGTATTTCTCTGTTTCTTAACAGCAACCACCTTCCAGGGTTGTTGTAAGGTAGAAAACTCTTGATACAGGGCTTGCATAGGTGAAGCTTCCTGCAACAGTTGCTATTACTAAAGAAGATTGACAAAAAGGGCCCTTTGAGACTTACCTGGTGAGACTGAAGCAGCAGGTTGAGGAGCTGGACGTGGGTGGGCAGCGGCAGCGGGAAGCCTTGCTGCAAGCGCGCTGTAAGGGGGGGGGGAAGGTCAGGCGCAGGGGAGGAGAAGGTCGGGCAGGGGCCCAAGAGACAGCTTCCCTGAAGCCTGGTTCTGGGGAGGGACTGACGTGGGCACGTAAGCCTAAACAAAAGGTTGCCCTGGAATCTCCCATCCTCTTCTCCACCATGATCCAGGGACCTGCGGGCCTCTAATTCCTGCCTAAGCCCACACCACTGTCCTCCCGGGGGCGATGGCACTGCTGGCAGACACCAGGCCCGAGGGATGCCTGGGGTGGCTGCTTGCATGGGTTAGGGACAGCCCACGGACATGCATTTGGGACTAACTCCTTGCATGTGCCAGAGACCCTCAATGTTCAGGGAAAGCCAGAGATGGGCAGTGGACAAGGGGCGAGCGCTGCACCTCCCCACTCCCCCCCGCCCCCTGCATGCTACCACATTCTGAATTGGAACTCTGGAGACTCAAACCTGCTCTCTCAGGTCATTTTGAAGCTACATGTTTCAAGGGGTGGGGAGGGGGAATAAATCGGTCTATTTAATAATGCGTTGTCTTAATTTATAATTTCTAAATATTCTAGCCACGTGGTATGTGTGGCCTCTATTTATACTCTTGTCTCTGCCTCTGCAATGGCAGGCCTTGCCAGTGTGCTGAGCTGACCTTAGCCCTCTTCCCTGGCCCTTTTCCCAGAGCTGGAAAGAGGCTGATGGGATCAAACCCAGTTAGGATCGAACGCAGTTCCACCTGCTCTGTGATGCAGAACAAGTCACTTAACTTCCTTGACCTTCCATTTCTTCCCACGAAAACTCCTATCTCGCAGGGCTATGGTAAGGACTGGAGAAGAAATGGATGGGCAGGTGGTAGGAACTCAGCTCCCATGGGTTCCTTTTTTTCCATGCTATTTGAGATTCCTTTGAGGTGACCAGAACCCACAACTGGGGCCAGGTATTAGGTGGTTCTAGGAATTAACCCCACCCACTTTTGACCAAAAAATTGGGGACCAAAAATCAATCATTTCTCCAAAGCTCCTTACCGTTAATCTTGGGAAGAGCAACAGTGGGCAAAAGAAAGTTCATAACATTCTGCAGGCTTTCAACCTGGAAATCAGAAGGAGGATGGGGCCCGCATCAGGACCCTGTGGCCTCAGCAGTCCTCTGCCCTCTCCATTCCCGGCCCCCCTCCAGCTGGGCAAACTGTGATGATGTCAAGACTATGGCTGGATCAAGGTCACTTTCGTTCTAGAGTTTCCAGGAAAACACCTACTAAACTGTAGGGTGCAAGAGAGGCCATCGGAGTATTATTTGTGAAAATCTGTGTCAGATTCCACAGATTGAAGAACAGAGTGTTTCCATTTTTTCAGGGGCTATTTGGCAGTTTCAGCAAAAGTCTTAAGAATGTGTGTTTCCAGTGGGCTGCAAGCATGCCTCTATGGTGTTTATCCTCAGGAAATGATGTAGGGCCTCGGCAGAGAGAGCAATGGAAGGATGCTCACCCAGTGACAGATATAACCAAAGCAATAAATTAGAAGCACCCACATTTCCAATGTTTGGGGGGAGTCGTGGCCCTTTGATCCCAGGTAATACTATGCAACTGTTAAGAAGGATATTATAGAAACACAATGATCAGCACAGAGATATTCATTAGGGAATTTTGAATAAGGAAGAGCAGATTACTGAAGCCACTTAATTCTATTGCGTTGTTGTCAATAAATAGCAAAGGTCAGGAAGGATATACTCCAAATGATGACTTGCTGAAAATAGGGGTTTTTAAAAATTTTCTTTGTTTTTACAGATGCATAGGTTCTGCCTGCTTGATAATGTCTGTGTTTTGCTTTTGCAATAATGAAAAAAAAATTGTAAATAACGTAACACCCTCAAGATAATTGCCTCTAGTGGTGACATTTACAACTTGCAAATAGGTCCATTTTTGTCTCTGGAACAATTGGGTTTCCTTCCCCAGGCTGTGATTCCCTGAGCTCATCAGATCTGGTGCCCTTCTTCTCTTGAATCTGGGGACTTACTATTTTTATTTTCCATAGAAGCAGAAGTTAGCTGCCAACAGAGCTACACCTCTGGGCGTGTCAAGGAGTCCATGTGTGCAGAGGCTCCTCCAGGTGCTTCTGTTGGTTGTAAGCTCATCAGATGGACAATGGCTGGCTGGATTTCCATCAGATTTAGAGGGAGGTTTGGGATAGTCTGAATTTGGGGTTGGGTGGCTAACAAAGCACCCACTTGGTGAGGATCTTGGGGGGCATTTCAGAAAGCTAAGGGAATGTTCTTTAGGGATTCCCCAGAGTTCCCTGGGAGGTTAGAGCCCCATGTATAAGATGCCTGTGGAAAGAGCACACCATGGCTCCAAAGGGAAGTTCTAAGGTGATGCTCATTCAGGATGGCTGTTGAAGGGCATCTGAACCTCACGTATATGGGCAACTCGCCACTAGTACCTGGGGTGAGGGTAGGAGGATGGGCCTACTTCATGGTGGTCAGTGATTCTGGGGAGTGGAATCATCTACTAGGTCTGGTGAGATGCCAGCTCCTCTTCCTCCCACCTGCCCTGATCAATCTCAGAAAGTGACTTTGACATTCATCCGGCTGCTGAAGCCAGCACCTAGGAGTGATTCCTCATTGCCCTTTCTCCTCACCACGCACATCAGATCTTACACCAAGTTCCATCTAATTCTATTGCCAAAGTATGTCTTCAATCCACCATCTTTCTTCTTCTACCTGGCCCTGTTCCAGCCTCCATCATCTCTCACCTGCACAAAGGCCCCAGTCTTCCCTGACCTGTGTGATCTGACACTTGACCCTGCAATCCAGTGCCCTCACCCCAGCCAGTGGCATCTTTTACACTGTTACAAATCAGATCATGCTCTCCCTGCATGAATGAGTCCATTGTCTCACTGTCCTTTCAACACTATCTTCTTCAGCCCAGAAGGCCCTGGGGGAGCCAGTCCCGCCCTGCCTCTTCCAGACATATCTCCTCCTCCATCCCCCCACCTTTCTCTGTCCCTGTCACACTGTCTTCCCTCCATTCCCCAAGCATACCCAGCTTGTTTCCACCTCAGGGCCTATGGCCCTGCCATTCCCTCTGCCCACAACAGATCTTCGCCTTGCTGGCAACTTCAGCTCCAATATCCCCACCTCCAGAAGGCTTTCCCCAATGACATAGTCTAACCTCAACCCTCCCTGTCACTTTCTAGCCCACCTCCATTTTGTTATTCATTGCATTGTTCATGACTGGAAGGATCTTCATTTCTTTTCGTGTTTGTCTACTATGAGGTAAGGATCTGGGGGAGCTTCCTTGTCCCTTTTATCCCATACCCTCAACAGTGCCTGCCACACAGTAGGTGCTCAAAAAAGTCATTAACTTGTTTGTCCACAAGCATTTGTTGAGAAATTTTCCATACCAGATTGTGCACATTTCATCCCAGTTAAAACTCATCCCATTAACTCAGGTGGAAAGGACTGTCCCTGATCAGTGAGGAGGGAACGCAGCTCAGAGAGGAGGCGACAGTCGTAAGTAGGGAGCATGGATTCCAGCTCAGGTCTCTCTGCCCACGGAGCTCCTCCCATCATTACTTCATATGCAACTTATATGCAAATGAGCCATTGGCCTCCTAAATGACCCCAGGGGTCCCCTGAATAACCTTAGGATGGGGAGGTGGGGTGGAATGAGTCACCAAGTGTCTCAGACTCACCGAGAAGGGGCCAATGTCGGAGTGCTTCAGTTGTAGGAGCAGCCTGTGAAAAGGGGGGTGAGGGCTGAGACCACCATTAGCTTGACCCATATCCCACCCCCAATCCACATTCCCTTCCTTTATCTATAGCCCCCCTGATTTTTCTCTGGGAAAGTCCCCCATTCCCTACATTGCTAGTGCTGAGCCCTGGGGTGGGCTGGCTTAGGGCAGAGACACCTCTCCTGCCAAAGTGATTGCTTCAGGGATGGACTGTGACCCACAATGGTCCAGGGAGGGGTGGTTCCAGGGCTACAGCTGAAACTATGGTGAATAAGTTGTTCTCTTTCCTCCAGGAAAATTAGGGACCATTTTTGTCACCACTTATGTTAGTCTTCTAGGAAATGAAGCAAGGCATTTTAACCGTGACCTCAGAGAAAGAGGAAAATAAATGGCTGTTTATTGAACTCTTATTATTTAAAGCATTAAGTTGGGTGCTTTATCCCACTGAAATCCTGCAACACCCAAGAGGCAAAGGCCATCACACGCCTGTTTTACAGATGAGGAAACTGACCCTCAGAGAAGGCAAGCAACCAGATCAAGGTCACACAGCTAATCAATAGCAAAGTAGGATTTCAAACAGGTCTCTCTGATGGCAACATTCTTGTCTCCAAAACCCTAATAAAGCTTGAAAACTGTCTTGTTCACCAACAGTCAGGAGCCCTGGGATTTCTGCCCTATAGAATTCTCTGCCATCCCCTGCATATTTTAGAAAGTCTGTGCTCAGTCATCACCCAGCTGTATCCTCTCTGGCTCCTCTACTTGAGAGACCCACTGGTGTTTCAAGGAAAATTAAACCCACATGTTTCTGAAGCGGTAACACTTGTCAAAATGATGCCAGGAGAAAGAAGCAGTGCGTAACCCTCAGGAGCCGATCTCAAGGTTAAGAAAGACAGCTCCGTGCCAGAGAAGAGGTGGAAACAGGCAGGAATGTGGGTCAAGACTCCAGGCGAACAGTGTGATCGTGATGAAGAGCTGGCCTCTAGGTCTGGATGTTGGGGTGGTCACATCTGCTCTCTTGGTGTCGCTATCTCTGTGCGTCTCCTTCTTTCTCTCTCTTCCCTTCTTCCGTCCCTCATTTCGTCTCTCTCTCTGAGTCTATCAGTCTCTGTTTCTGTCTCTCCTCCCATTTCTAAAATTCCCCTTTACTGCGTCTTTTTCTCTTCTCTCTTGCTTACTGAGGGCATATTACTCCCTGGAAGTGTTGCAGACATTGAAATGCATGTTAATATCTCAATTCATCCTCATGCTGATGTTGTTGGCAAAGACTAGTTGTTGGGCTTATTTTACAGCCAGGGAAACTGAGGTTGCTTGCCCAGGCAAGCTAAGTTTCAAATGGAGGTCAGGGTCCCCATCCCCCCACCACAACTTCTAGGCCAGATTCAAATGGGCTCACATGGATTCCAGAGTCTCCCAGCAGGGGGCAGTTGTGAGGGCCCAAGGACAGGGTATGAAGATGTAGGTTGAGTGAGGGAGTTTGGCAAGCGCCAGGGGAGGCCAGGGACATGGAATGGCCAGGAGCCATTGTGGTTGGAGGTGGGGATGGGGATCAGCAACTGGCACTGAGGGGTCAGGTCAGCTCAGGCCTGAGGGGCGCCCTAGGACTTTCAGGGCAGAGGGACACTCCAGTGAAACCCAGAATGTTGGTCATGTTAAGAAGTTTGGCCGTGGGAGGTCACTTCATTTCTGAGCATCCATTACAATTTCTGCAAAGTGGGGATGATTTTGAGGTTTAATTTAACTGACAGACAGGAAAGCAACGAGACAGTGCTTGGCATATGATAAGGTCATTGTACCCGGGGAGCACCAAGAATGGATGGCAGCTGCCTCCTCCCGTCCCCGCAGGCCCACTTACTTGTCCATCTTGAGCTCTCCAATAAGCCTTCCGGACTTGATGTCAACCTTCACAGAAATATTTGTGCTCTGCAAAACAATATCCCAGGAGTTGAGGCCCCACGACCCAGAGCCGGGGGCTCTGCCAGGCCTGCAAGACCAGGAGGGGCAGCTTCACAGGGGCTCCTCCTGGGAGCCCACACTGCTGGGTCAGACCCACAGAATCCAAAGTGGAGGGAATCAATCCTTTTCCTTGTGCTTGTTGATAAGCCCTAGACTATCAAGCAATTACCATTTTCTGCTTCTGAGACCATTTCAATTATGCATTGGTGTATTTGTTCATTCTTTCGTTTATTCATTCAATTATTAATTTATTCAAATATTTATTAGATAGCTAACTTGAAATATGCCATATCTTTTCTGGTTCATAGCCACTCCTGGCGGCTAGGTGAGACAGACCTTGGGGCTGGAGTCCAGGCTAGCCCTATTCTTGCAGCCATCATCCAGTATTCATTCAACAAGTATTTACCGAGTCAGAAACTGAGGTTCCTAGATCAGATTTCCTGCCACTGTCTGTGTGACCTTGGGTGACTCCTTCAGAATCCACTTAATCTATAAAGTGGGGATAATGGGTCTCAATTTGAAACTGGGCAGACCTGCCTGAGGCCCAGGAATACCTCCTGGAAAGAGAGTCTGGTCCTCACCCCAGTAGTCATTGTTTGTGGAATGACAGAGTGATCGAATGAATGAATGCACAAATCAACAACAGCAATGAAACTTGAATTAGTGAAGGACTAACCACACAAATGAAGGAATAGACAAAGAAATGCATGGATGAATAAATGATGAGTGAACACATATACAAATGAATGATTAATTGAACAAAGGTATAAGTAGATGAATAAATGAATAATGGAATAAATGGAATGCATGTATGAACCAGAGAAAGCACAGCATATTTCAAGTTAGCAATCTAATGAATAATTGAATGAATTAATAATTGAGTGAATAAATGAATGAATGAGCAAATATACATATGCATAATTGAATGACCAAATATATGAGTGAATATAGAAACAGTCTTGTAACACTCATTTCCAGCCGAAGAGGGAATGGATAATTGAGTGAATGAATGAATGGGCATATGTGGGAGCCAGACGCAGTGTGTGTGGTGGTTCTGGTCACAAGTCCTGGAGCCCCACTGTTTGGGTTTGAATCTGGGCAGGATTCACACTGGACCTCTGACTCCAAGGCCAGCATGCTTGGCCTGTCTATGGTGCCTCATGTGCCCACCCCTGGGAACAGCTTACCACACCAAGCAGGAAGAGGGAGGCCAGGGTGGAGTTGGGGAGGATGGCAAAGGCCTGGGCCTCCAGGGCAGGGCTAAGGTCAAGGCCGGTAGGGTGCACAGTGAGGTAGGGCGGAGAGGAGACTGAGATGAGCAGCTGCATCTTCATGTTGGGGAACTCCTTGGCCACCTGCAGCCCCCAGTGAGGACAATCAACAAAAGAGGCAATTTTATTAACATGTTTTAAAATCCCACCTTGTCCTGGCTCTACATCAGCACTTTCCCTGTCTTACCATGTCTTTTCCAATAAATTCTAAAGACTGCAAGATCTGACAGCTGGCGCCCTGTTAACCTCACTCCAAAGGCCTCTCCTTCTGCTTTCCAACTCCAGTCACCCAGGATTCCTTTTTGTGCCTCAAGTATGAGCGGCTCTCTTGCCCTCTAAAGCCCTTTGCACTCTTGGTTCCCACTCCCCTAATGCCTGACTCTCCACCCTTCTCCTAGCTTGGCTATTTCCCTCCCTTCAGGTCTCAGCTCAACTCTTGCCTCCTTAGAGAGTAGTGGTGGCTCCCAGGGAAACTGAGGGGGATTTTGGCAGCACCCCCATCTCTGTTAGCTTCCAATCCTCCCCCAGGTAAACTCACAGCCTGGAAAAAAATATGATTGGGAACTCCCATATAGAATGTTCTGGAAGTACCACCATGGATGAGGCCATTATAGACTGAATGTGGGAGTCCCCTGTCCCCCCAGTTAATATGTTCAAGCCCTAACCTCCTAGCCCCTCATCCCCAGCATGCCTATATTTGGAGAAGGGTCTCCAAGGAGATGATGAAGGTCAGTGAGGGCATAAGAGCAAGGCCCTGTGCCAACAGGATTAGCATCTTTATATGAAGAGACCCAGAGCTTGCTCTCTCCACGTGCACCCAGAGGAAGGGCCACGAGGACACAGCAAGGGGATGGCCTCTTGCAAGCTAGGGAGGGGGCCTCACCAGTATGAGACTCTGTTGGCACCTTGATCTTGGACTTCTCAGCCTCTAGAGCTGTGAGAAGTTATTTCTGGTTAAGTCACACAGTCTGCGGCATTTTGATGACAGCCTGAGCAGACAGAGACAGAGGCCTTCCTTGATGGCTTTGTCTAAAGTGGCCTCATTGACCTGTGGCTTCACTTATCTTTTTGTTTTGGGAGCCTGAATAATAATTTTCTCACCCACTAGACTGCTCTCGGAGGGCAGGGGGATGGTCTGTCAGCTGAATGCCAGCACAGGGCCCCAGGCACTCAGTGGGTACTCAGTATGTATTTGTTGAATAACTGGGCCCCCAGATCTGCCCTCCTACGTGGGTCCCCTTTCTCTGTATAGGGGGTGGCCGCACAGAGCTATTTCCATTCTCTTAGGCGAGGTTGCTTCTGAGTCTGGGGGGAGGGGGTTCTCATCTGGCTGCTTAACAGAGTCCTGTCCTCTCCAGCAACCCCAGGCCAACTCCCGAGCAGGCTCTTTCTTACCTGTGGTATGAGAGTTCCAAAGAACTCGGTTGTCAGTCGGATTTTGGATTCTTTTGGAATCTGTAGGAAGGGGAAAAAGAGGAAAGACTTCTTGAGGATGATGTTAGAGATTGGACAACCGACAAATTTTATGAGGAGTGAGAGACGGAACGTATGGTCAGTGTGACAGGCGCGGACCCACTGCAGCCATCAGCCCAGAGTGGTCAGGCAGGGTCAGTGACTGCCCGTGCAGGATCAGAGATGCTCACAAAACTGATCACACAGGAAGCCCTGCTGCTGTCTCCATCTCTCCTACCAGCAAGACTCCCGGGGCTTCTGCTTTTTTACTCCACCCATTCCCCACCCCCTGCCTGCCTTTGAGGCTCTGCCACATGCATGTGATGGTGACTGACCCTCCTCGCTCTGATCCTTTCTCATTTGAATGGACTTTTTTTGTTTCCAGAGGGGCTGTGGGGTTGGCATTTGTCTGTACCCAGAAAGAGAGGGAGACTGCAGCTTTCCCAGGAGCAGCTTAGGCTGAGCTCCGAGAGGGCGTGACTAGGTAGGGATCAGGCTGCACTAGATTCTGGAGAGGATGGTCATTTCTTCATGTGACTGCGACCCAAAGAGGGGTTTGGCTATGAATATTAGAGACAAAGACAATGAGGATAATGCTACTGTGATACAGGACTCAGGCTGGGTCACTGGGCCGGACATAGGACAAGCACTCAGCTGGTGTGGGCTGGTCCTTATTGTTCGTCTAGTGCTTTCTACGTGCTGGGCCTGTGTGGAGCTTCTCATGCATTCCTGGACCCCGCAGTACATCCCCCAAAGGCAGAAACTGTTATCAGTGTTTTACTGATGACAAAACTAAAGTTCTGGGAGGTTACATGGCAGGCTGAATGTCATCCAGCTGGAAAGAGGGTCCATGATATCTGAACTTGAAGGGGGCTGGTTGACACTCAAATCAAGACCTTGATCTCCACAGGGTGAACAAAGGTTCAACTCTGGGTCTTCTGCTGCAACCTCGTCCAGTATCCGTCCCACATCCGCCCCCACGCAGCCTCACCATGTCATCCTTGAGGGTCAGGTGCAGGACTCCGGCCTGTTGGTACACAAGCCCCGCCGTGTTGAAGAAGTAGTTGGAGATGCCCAGGTACACCATGCGGTCGTGGTCAGCGGGGAAGGCCAGTGCTGGCGGGGCAAAGGGCGGGGGGCTGCGATGGCCCAGCCGAAAAAACTCTCCCTGGGGGAGGAGGCAGCGGAGTGAGCAGGGGAGGGGGGCACCCTTTAGGGAGTACAATTCAGCATCTCTGCTCCTGGAAAGTACGGGCTGAGCAGCCCACCCCCTCCTGGGCTTGAATTTTTAAGTGCTTTCCACAACAACCCCATAGGGAGGTATAACCAGGCTTATGTCCCAGGGTGGGACAGCGACTGAGACACAGGTTGCAGAAGAGGTGGCCCTGGGCCTCAAGGGCGCATGGCCCAGGGAGGGGTTGGACTTGGGCATCCAGGGCCCAGCAGCACAATCCCCACCCCTCCACTGGCCCAGCTCAAGCTTTCTGGAAAGCGCAGGAATTCTACTGAAAGAATAATGCCATTATTAGATTAGCAAAATGTTGAAAGGTTTAAGAGAAAGAGATAAACTGCTCTCTGTGTGTGTGTGTGTGTGTGTGTGTGTGTGTGTGTGTGTGTGTGTGTGTGTGTTAAACACATTCTATTCATTTTTGCTGAGCATGTTTATAGCCGCCAGGGAATATGTGTTTATAGGTTTCTGAAGACCAATTGACAAGATGCTGCAAAAGCAGATCATTTATTCAGCTAAAATAAGAATAATGTGGAGTTATAAAAATACATATGGTAGGACACCATTTATGTACAATTTAAGGGCCTATAAAACATACGATATAAGAATCAATTGATGCACATAGACATGCAGTGAAAGTATGAAAATGCAGGAAGGACACACGGAAATGGTCATTTGACTGCCTGGAGGTGGAGGCACCTGGGGCCTCAGCTTTGTGTTTCTATTGTGTTTCATTAAAAAAAAAAATCAGAGGCAAATAAAACAATACAGTAACATTTCTTAAATCTGGGCAGCAGGTAGGTGAAATCCAGGTACAAAGATGCTCATGGCAGCTCCAGTGCTGTTTGTGGCAGAAATGGCAAGAGCTCAAATACCCCAGGAGAGGGCTCTGTCTCTATCACGAGCTGTTCACTGTAATACCCAGGGCCCCAAAAGATCTAACTTGTGTGCCAATAGAGCATATTTTTGAGTTGTAATATCTGGGTGCTCTTTCTCTTTCCCTCCCCCATCCCTTTCTGCTTCAGTGCCAATGGTCAGGGAGGCCTCCTCGGGAGAGAATGTTCGAGCAAACACTTGAAGAAAGAGAGCACTTTTGCAGATATCTAGGCAGGAGCGTTTGGGGCAGAAGGAGCAGGAAGTGCAAAGGCCCTGGGGCCTCCAGTGTGACTGGAGCAGGGAGAAGCTGTGGAGAGTGCAGTGGGGGTGGGAGGGTAAGGGTCAATGGGAAGGGGGTGGAGTCATTGTAAAATTTGAGTCCAAGGATCAGAAGGAGCCCAGGAGGGTCTGAAACGAAGATATTGAGGGTTTATGATTCTTAGCATGTCTCACCTTCAGCTGCCCATCCAGGCTGTCAGCTGTGACTGTTGGAGGTGCCAGCAATGAGTAATCGATCCCGGCCACATTATCTATCCTGGCAGTCACTAGAGGGGAAGACAACAGAGCATGTGCCATCTCCCTATGGCAGCACCTTTGGGCCCTGGGATGCAAGGTCAGCATCTCCTAAAGTTGAATCAAGAACTGCAGTGCACTTCCATGCCCACCTCCTCCAGGGAGCCCTCTCTGAGCCGCCTTTGGAGGAAAATGAATCCACACCCTTATTCACACACATCTCTTCTTCCAATAGACACTAGGACAGGGCCTAAAAGACAGTGTCAAGGAGCGGAGAGACCTGGGCTTGAATTGAACCACATATGAACTTGGACATGTCCTTTTACTTCTCTGAGCCACTTTTTATCAGTTGTAGAATGGGGTAGAAGCACTGATCTCACAGGATTCAGTGAGAAGGTAGATATGCCTAATGCTCTGTGCATGGCAGGGGCTCAAAAGCCAGAAGGGATCAATATTAGCAGTAATGACATCCCAGGCTGAGCTTAACTCAGGTCAGTTTCCCCACAGTAATCAATGAGTATTAAACAAATATCATTGAGCCATTCCCTCCCATGTTAGAGGGGAAGAAACTGAGGCCCAGAAATAGTACTTGTGCAAGAGGGCACCACTGGTTTGGGATTCACACCAATATCTTTTTCCTGTCTGATGAACCAAACCTTAGACTCTGCCAGTGCATGGGTCAAGGTGGCTTCCCCGCGGGACTGGGGCATTGCCTCTGAAATGAGCACCTACTACGTGCTGGCCATGCCAGACTCCATGGGGCGGGAACTCAGGGAGGAGGCTGGGACACAGACTCTGGAGTAAAACAAAAATTTCTGAATTTAGATTCTGCTTCAGCCTCTTATTGGCTTTGTGAACTCAGGCAAGTCTCTATTCACCCACGTCCTTGAGGGAACTCTAGAAGTGAGGGAGCAAATCAGCCCACACACACCCATTCCTCCACCCCCGCAGAGGCCTCCTCATGGGAAAACTGAGAGCTTGCACTCATCTTGCTGAGGTGTTGGGACGCCGAGAGCAAGCAATGCTGCTGGGTGCGTGGCACATGGTGAGCCTCAGCCAGAGGGCTCCTCTCCCACCAAATGCAGCTCTTCACAGTCTACCAAGTACTTGGGGTTAGAGAGAATTGCCCCCATTTTAAAGATATGGAAATTGAGACCCCAAGAGGAGCAATCATCCACCTTGGATCTGTGTGTCTGGCCTCAGAGAGCTGGAAGTACTTGGTTTTTCAGTTCTTTCAAGGGTAGGGAATTAATGGGTGTGGGTGGCTTTGCCTCCTCACTTATGGACTTGCCATAAGGACCAGGAGCAAAGAGAATCCAATGCCAACTGCCATTTGAGAACAATCTATTCTACCCATTCCCACCCAGGCCCAGGCAAGTCTGGGAAACTTTAAGAATTTTCCCACCTCTCTACCCCCTACTTCTTTTATCTCAGACTCCTTGATCCCTCCCCACCCTTACCTGGCAGTGTCTGGAAAAAAGGTTGCAGTTTGGAGATCACAGAGCTTCTCATTACCTCGCAGATCTGGGGAGAACCAAGGAAGTGATCAGTGAGGGATTCCCATTGTGGAAGCTGTCTTTTGGGAAAACAATCCAGGCAGGTTTTGCTTTCCTTGAAAATAATGTAACTAAGGAAGTTTCCCTTTTTCTTTGGCCACCAAGAAGCTCAGAATTGGGCCTCCCCGGTGGCGCAGCAGTTGAGCGCTGGGTTGCGAAGCTCCCTGCGGCCTCTGCGGCGGCGCCGGTTCGATCCCCAGCTGCTCCCCGGCCACTGGAGGAGGGTCCCACATGGTGCGCAGACCTCTCCTGCTGCCCGCTGCTCCCCTCAGCAGTGTACTTCAGTCCTTCTGCCTGTTCTGCTCCCTGCTCTGGCTCTGGTGAATTCTCTCACCCTCCCGCGCTTCTGACTGTACCCAGTGCATGTATAAACAAAACAAACAAACAAACAAATAATAAATAAATAAAACATGCCTCTATAAGGAAAAAAAAAAGAAGAAGCTCTGAATTCAGTAGGCAGCTTAGAAACAATTACTGTATATGACTGTATATGATCTCTATATCTGTATTTTCATTCCTAATCTGGTGTGGAAATTCCCTGATGGATATTTGATGTTTTTGTTTTATTTTTTTTTTCCCCCCACTGAGGTAGTTACTCCTTTTCTTGAGACCTCTATTTTCTCATCTGTGTGATGGAATGTGGCAGGTTGTATTTTCCATCTGACTTGCTCTTCTGTAACATGGCCTTGCCATGCCCCCATCATTGGTGGACTATGTGATCTCCCCCCTAGAATCTGGTCATTTGTTTATAATCAATAGACTATGGCAGGAGTGACATCATGTAACTTCAGCAGCAAGGTCATAACAATGTGTGCACCTTCCACCTTGGTCTCTTCAAAGGTTCCCTCTGGAGACCCAGTGACATACTGTGAGAAGCTCCAGCTCCATGGAGGGAGTTACAGGTAGTTGCCGGGGTCAGCAGCCCCAGCTGAGAGGAGCCTTCTTGTCTTCCCAGCCCAGGAACCATAGGTGTGAGAGAAGATCCCTTGGGATAGTTCTAGCCGTGGGCTTTGGAGTTTTCCCAGATGAGACCTAGACATCATAGAGCAAGACCGGCTAAGACAGCTCTGCCGTGCCTGTCAATTTCCTGATCCACAGTCTCCAGGAGCCTTACAACACGGTGGCTGCTTTACGATGCTACATTTGGGGCTGTTTCCCAGTGATAGAGATTCCCTAGCCTGAAGGGACTGGGGGGCTAAACAAGCCCCTGCTTTCACAAGGTTGCTCTCCCCATGAGTAACCTTTGTTTGCCTCTGAGTCACTGTGGTCCTTGCCTTTCTTGACTGTCGGGTAGCCCCTGCCATGGGGGCTCCCCTCTCCTTCCATCTACTCTTCCCCGGAAATGGAAATACTGCGAGCTCTGATTCCCTTGCAAAAAAGTCAGAGCTCCTTGGTGTTCCTTTCTGGGTCCCCGTTCCTTCCACACATGGCCCTGCCCTGCTGGAGGTCACCTGCGCCTGGCGTGAACAGCTGGTCCACACCTTGCAACCCACCCCCCTGAGGGCTGAGCTGCCCAGATCTCGCCCCCAAATGCCAAAGAGTTATAGGCACCAGAAACAGCCTGGGCCGAAGAGAGGTGAGAGTTGGTGCAGAAACACCTTGGCCTCCTCAACCCTTGGGGCCAGTTCTGAGAAGGGGAATGAAGCAGGGAGCAAGAGAGGGAGCGGGAGGGTTGGAAGGGAGAAAGAGAGCAGCAACAGAAGGAAGAAAGAAAGGAGAGCAAAGCAGGCGTGGGGGGAAACAGAGAGAGCAAATCTGGTTTCTTAGGGAGTGTGTTTCTTTTTTTTTTTTTTTTACAGATTTATTTTTCACTTATACAAGAGCTGGGGCACAGGCCAGAGGCACGGGAGGGTAAGAGGATTCAGCAGAGACAGAGTGGGGAGTAGGACAGGCAGACAGACTGAAGACACTGCTGAGGGGAGCAGCGGGCGAGACAGATGAGGTCTGCCGCGCCATGTGGGTATCTCCCTGGCCGGCCGGGAATTGAACCCGCACTGCAGAGGCTGCGGACAGCTTCAACAGCATGGTGCTCAACCCGCTGCATCACTGGGGAGGCCTGGGAGTGTGTTTCTATCTCATAAGACTCCTTGCTTCAAGAGGACTAGAATCTGAGGAGACTGCACCTCCATTCCTAGTGGCCAGGGGTGGACAGGGTAGGGGGTGGTTATGGGGCAGTAATCTGGCAAATGGGACCCAACCACGCCTGAACTACCTACCTGCCCTTGAGCCACTGCCCTCCAATGCTGCTCACCCACAAGGGCCACCAGATGGCTCCAGAGCACAGCAAATCACGCGGCAGCCTGGAGCACGGCTGCCTGCCGCCACCCCGCTACGCTCCCCCCACCCCCACACACCTGATACAGAGTTGGGCTCTTCTTCCCTCAGGTAAAACCTCTCCTCAGTATTCCTTGAAGTCAGATTCCAACTCACTTCTCTTTCAGCCCTTCCTAGCATCAGAGACACCCTGAACCTTCATTCATTCATTCATTCCTCCATTTGTTCAGGCTAAATACACTCTTCTAAACAATATCTTCTTATGATTAAGAGCTCTGTCTCTGAGGTGGGTGACTGGGGTTTGAATCCCAGCTCTACCACTTCTTCTATCTGTGTCTCAGTTGACTCATCTGTAAAATGGGGATACCATGACAAGTAAGGACTTTGTGTGGGTTAAATGCTAGACTCTTTGTAGAGAGCTTAGTCCAGGGCCAAGCCCACTGCAAGCACTTAAGAATGTATAGTCCAAACTCCTCCTCCTCTTCCCCAACACCATGGTCCTCTTCACCACCATCTCCCTCCTCACCACCCTCATCATTAGCATCATCATCATTCCTCTTTAGTTGGGTGACAATTGAGGGGGCTCAGTGCTATCAAGAAATAATCTGTTTAAGCCCAAATGCCCAAAAATAGATGACTGGATCAAGAAGATGTGGTACATATACACCATGGAATATTACTCAGCATTCAAAAAAGATAAACACATGCAATTTGCAGCAACATGGATGGCGCTGGAAGGGATCATGCTCAGCGAAATAAGCCAAAAAGAAAAAGAAAAATACCGGATGGTCTCACTCATAGCAGGAATCTAGAAAACTTAAATAAGGGACCAGGAAAAAGAATAACTATAAGAAAGTGAAAATCAAAATCAACAAAAAACTATGAACCAGAGACACTTTTTGGGGGGTGGGGGCCGGGAGGGGAGGGATTGGGGTCAGAATGGGGCATGTGCAGTTGTATGGGGGAATATAAAAATAAAATTTATTATTAAAAAAAAAACAACCCAAAAAAAAAAAAAAAGAAATAATCTGTTTAATAGTCCCATATGTTAAATACATGCTAACCCCCCTCTCCTGCTGTTACTTCATTACAAAGACAGTGAGCAGTGGGGGAGCAGGCTGCTAGGTGAGCACACTGCCTGCATTATTTCAGTCATCCTGAGGGCAGCTTGGCTGAGACTATGTTAATGTCCCCATTCTACAGATGGTGAAACTGAGGTTCAGAAAGGTCAACTAATTTGTTCAAGGTTATATAGCTGGTGACACCCTGGAACAAGAGGGCTGGTTCCAGAGACTTTACCTCTAAAACCAACAACCCACAACTCACTGTGTTTTTGTTTTGGGTACAATCAGAAGCACGGGAGGGTGAGAGAATTCACCAGAGCCAGAGTGGGGAGCAGAACAGGCAGAAGGACCGAAGTACACTGCTGAGGGGAGCAGCGGGCGGCAGGAGAGGTCTGCGCGCCATGTGGGACCCTCCTCCGGTGGCCGGGGAGCAGCCGGGGATCGAACCGGCACTGCAGAGGCTGCGGGCAGCTTCGCAACCCAGTGCTCAACCGCTGCGCCACTGGGGAGGCCCTGCACAACTCACTGTTACGTATTTTTGATATCCACACTTTTTTTTTTTTTAACTTTTACGGCATGCCTTTGGAGAGAGTATTTCATTTGACTGACGTGTCCGTACCCACACTGTCAGTGCTTTGGTCCAGAAACCAGCATCTCCCATCTGAAAGATTGCACAACCCTCTCCAGTCCCTCCCTGCCCCCACTCACTGTCAGCCCCCCCCCCCCAGACAATCTCATGACAGCCAGAGAAATTTTTCTAAAGCGCAGATCTAGCCAAGTCCCCGCCTTGCTCCTCACTGTATGTTTTCAGGGTGGGAAACAGCAAAAACAGGGTTCAAGGTGTGGTGGGGCTGGGGAGGGAGGCCAGGGCTCTATGAGGGCTGTCGGGAGAGCCACAGTTTCCCTGCAGGGAGGATGTGGGGGCGGGGGAGAGCAGAGGCAAGTCTGCTGTGGCTGTGGGACGAGACTGTTTCTTAGCCCCGCCGGCCTGCTCAGACAAGCACGCGTGGCTGATGTTTAGACTAGACCGGCGGTGAAAGGGCTGCGAGGCCAGTGAGGTGGCCGGGGCGTGGGGAAGCCATAGCTGTGCCCCTGAGGTGTGTGGAGACTGAGGGCACCTCCACCTCTGACAGTGATGAGACCCTTGCCCCTCCTACCTTGCTGGACATGGCATTTTGGAGTGAGGACTCGATTTTTTTGTGGAAGAGTTGGATCAGCCACCTGGAAATTGACACGTGGGACATGAGACATCCCAAATGTCCTCATTTGTCCTCCCTCCTCCACATAGGACTGGTCCCCAAATGCACACTACCCCCCCCCATTAGCCACGTCTCCCCTTCACACCATTACATCCTCATTCACAACTGGACCTCTGTACCCCCCCCAGCCCATTTCCTTCCCATCTCTATACACCCACACTGTTCCTCCATGTCCCCCTTGTGCCTGGGTCTCCACCCACCCCAGGGCCTTGTACATGCTGTTCCCTTTGCTAAAAACACCCCCTGCCCCTGACAGCTGCCTAATTAACTCCTACTTATTCTTTTCAAGTTAATTCAAATGTCATTTCTGCAAGGAAGAACCGGCCAGTCCCCAGACCAGCCCAGTTCCTCCTGATCTATGCAGTGGGTGCACTGGCTGCCTCTTTTCTTAGTTCCATCCTTTTGTAATTCTTTGCAAACTGCTAGTAATGCAGTGATTCAATGAAGATGTCTTCCCCTCTAGGCTGGCAGCATCGAGAGAACAGGGAATGTGTGGTCAACAGTCTAGGGTCAGATAGCTCTGGGTTGAATCCCTTCAACACTGACTAACTGAAAACTCAGGTGATTTCCCATCCTCTTTGTACCTTGGTTTTCTCCCCTGAAAATGGAATAATACTAGTGCCTCACAGAGTTGTCGTGTGGCTTAACTGAGCTCAGGTATGAGCTTATACCCATGCCCAGCACACAGTAAGCCTCTGGTCCACATTACTTATTTCTCAAATTTTAGTGGCCATTTCTTGGACACATTGCACAAGCCTGGTGCACAGCAGATTCTGACTCCATTTGTTGAGTGGAGGGGCAGAGAATGCCTACAAGTCTGTGCTGAACATTCTATGGTTTAAGGTACATAAACTGGTTAGCCCAGGCCAGAGGCATAGTAAGAGCTCTGTAAAGTCTGATAAATGGTTGTTGATGGACAAGTGGCTCTTGGAGGCAGGGACAGTGTCTGCTCCATCTGTGGAGTCTTGTGGATGAACAAGGCTCTGGACAAGGCCTGGCATGGAAGTGGCATCGGACATGTTTTCTGTCTATAGCATGATGGGGACAGCTCCCTCCTCCCACCCATACCCCAGGAGACCATACCCCAGGCTGCTGCCCGAGATGTGTATGTGGGCGCTGTCCATGTGGCTGCTGCAGCTGGCACAGAAGATGGTGGAGTGGCCTGTGGTGGAGTTGCAGCCCAGTTTCAGAGCAGACAGAATGGAGATGCCCTCCAAGCTCAGGTCAAAGTTGCCACTGGCTTTGCTGAAAGGAAACAGGAATGACTTCAGCAAGCAATTTCTTCCCCATTGCCATTTAACCTTCACCCCAATGCTGGAAGTTAGGGTGACTAGAATCCTTCTCCAGGTAAGGTGGTAGAGTTCAGAGAGGGAAGGAAATCTGCCCAGGTCACACAGCAGCTGAGTAAAAGAGCCAGGATCCCAATGTGAAGTGTAAAGCCATGTCTGCCTGGCAGAACCTTGTTCTTACCCACTGCCTCAGTCCACTGTCCTTGCTGTGTGACCTGGGGCATATTTCTTAACCTCTCAGGGCTTCATTTCTTCGCTCAGACCCTGCACTAGCCTCAGAATACCAGTTTTGATACCAAGAAGCTGGGTGTTTGGGGCCACTGACATTAATTCATGAATGACCTTGTTCATTAAATGTGGTTAAGGACTCCTAAGGGGTAAAATGGGCTCTGGGTAAGAGAGTGGACAGGAATAGAGTTTGTCAACTCTTCCATAATGTGATGAAGTGTTGTTGTTGTTGCTAATATCATTCATCAATAAATGTAATGATAGAAACCAAAAAACCCAGGTGGAGAACTAAGCAAATCTCGTGCTGGGAACAGACAGAACCAGAGGCAACTGAGGTGCTCCCTTGCCATTGCCGCCCTGGCTCCCCACAAAGGAGAAGTTGCTGAAGTGTTTGGTTAATCTGAGCTGCTCTCACTCGCAGGCAGGGTTTCTGTGGTGAGAATCCAATTTTGAGATTCAGAGTTGAGGAGTGTATAATTTGCCCCGATTTCTCACCCTCTCCCTGACCCTCAACCACATCTATACCCTCACCCTGTCTTGGGCAGAGGGGGTGCCCATTTCCAGGCTCTTGGCTTTGGGTGTGGCCACAGGGCCTGCATTGGCCAATGTTCTGAATAGAAGTGACTGCAGGCTAGTCCTGAGCCTAGGTGTAGGCTTTAAGGGCCCTGACATACTTCTGATTGCCCCTGGGTACCTCTGCCAGCACCGAAGATGTGCTCAGTGCGCGGGTCCAAGCGGGAGGCAGGGAGCAGAGCTGTCTCGCTGAGCCCAACTGAGATCAGGGAGCCAGAGACAACACGTAGATACACAAGTGATAACATACCATTTATTCTAAGCCTCTGAGCTTGGGGTGGTTTGTTACCCAGCCATCGCTATCTGATTCAGGGGAAATTAAAGGTCCCCCTTAGTCTTCCATCCTAAGACACATGGAGCAACTGAGCCTTGCCAGTGCCCGGCATCTGACATGTGGACAAATGCTAAGTGATTAACCAAGGGATGTGTTGAATCTTCTTGGGTGAAAAATTACCCCCAAGAATTCAATGGGAACAAATGGCAAAAATTCCTGAGACCCTGGCTCTCGTTCCTTCTGATGATCACCAAATGCTCACCCGGAGAGTCAACAAACCCATGCTTGGAAACGCACATGAAATTCTTTTTTGCCTTCCACTTTCCGCTGATCTTGATATTGGCATTTTCGATGATAAGATTAAGGCCCACATTGGGCAACAGTTTTATCTGGGAACTGGGAAGCTGGAATTCATGGATAAACATGCTGAAGAGAAACAAAGAGAAATGACTTGGAGCCAGCACTTTCTTCCCCATCGCCATTCATCCTTCACACCAATTCTGGAAAGTTCAGTTTAGTTAGTCTCCTGGGGTCCAGACAAGGATTCAGTTAAAAATGCAGACTCACCCCCACCTCCACCCCAGCCCTTCACCCCATCTATTCCAAGAGAACCCAGAAGACTTGAGAATTATGGACATTAGCTAGGCTTTGAGGTGAGGCAAATCTACATTTGAATTCTGCTCCTCGATTTATTATTGTGTGGCCCTGAGCCTCAGTCTCCTCATTTATAAAATGAACACAATAATCTCTGTCTTGTAGGGTGTCTGTCAATTAGTGTTATATCTTGATTATAAGTACTGCAGAGGAGTGGAATGAATCTGTCTTTTTTCACTATTTATAGCAAATTTTTTTGAGTACCTACTATGTGCCAAATAATTACGATGTGTCAAATACATAGTAGGTGCTCTAATTATTTTCAGAATGAATAGATTCATAACATTCTATAGAAGATTTATGAGATTTCAATAAATTCCAATTTATGGACTTTCTACCCAGCACCATTAACTCCTTCTTATGGTAACAGAACCGCTGTTTTACTTTGGGAGAACCACTTCTTACATCTATTCCATGTTACTCCAAAGAAAATTTATTTCTCCTCCATCTTCAGGGAGAGAAGCTTGTGACTTAGACATAGGTTAATTAGTGTATTTTAGTTCCTTGACCAAAGTGATTGGTTTAGAAGTATGTACTTAGCCTATGATGGATAATCAGAGTGCATTTTAGGGTTTTTGCTTTAGTAGTAAGGCAACTCCTGCCTCAGGACTTGGAGTTCTGAGATGTGGTGGTCATCTTGCCTCTTCGAAGGGACATTCTACTTGAGAATTAGACCTCCTCAAGGGAAGTGAGGGTGGGAGGTAATGAGAGAAACAGGGTCCAATGACATTTGAGCCTACCTCCAGCTGATCCTGAAGGCAGACTATTCCAGGAAATTTTCAATCATGTGAGCCAATTAATTTGATTTTAGGCCATTTAGGATTAGGCTTGCCATTCTTGAACTCCCTCCCCAAAATCCTAATAGATATGTGTGCCTGGTGCAAAGTTCTGGGCTCATGATACATCCCCTGTGTAGTCATGGTAAGTGCCTGCAAGACAGTTTTTCTGGCTTCCTCCCTGCTCAGCTTGGGGAACTGTACCTCCTTGGGATGGTGTCAACTCTAGATTTGGGGTCCATGTCATTCTTAGTTGTTGGGGTTTATGCCTCTGGGCTTCCATGGTTTGGTGGCCCCAGAATACTTGGTGATCAAATGCAATAGGTCTTACCTATAGAAGTTATACTGCCCTTTACCAATAACTTTGATCTTAAAGCTTCCTGAGAAATCTGGAATCTTGATCTTCTCCAACTCTTTCTTCAGCACAGCTACTCCCTGCTGGCAGGCTGAGGAGAGAAAGCAGTGGTGAGGTCAGAGGCCCATTACCTCCGGTCTATAGAGGAGACAGTGGGATTAGAAAGGTCCAGAAAGGGGTCAGTCAAGATTCTCTGTAAAGGACCGGATAGTAAATATTTTCAGCTATCTCAGCAATATGTCTCCATCACAACTACTCAGCTTTGCAGTTATTATCCCAAAGCAACCATAGACAATATGGAAATGAGTGGTATGGCTATGTGCCCACAAAACTTTATTTATAGACACTGAAGTTTGAATTTCATATGATTTTTATACATTGTGAGATATTGTTTTTCTTTTGATTTTTTTCCTTTTAAAAATATAAAAACTACTCTTAGCTTATGGGACATACAACAACATGTGGCAGGTCAGAATTGGCCTGTGAGTTTGCGAGCCTTGGTATAAAATATCACCCCCTCCTATACGCAGTCACGTATGCTAAGAGTATTGTTAGATACCTGCTCTGTGCCTGGCTGTCACAGATATTCCTTCTCTTGGCTTCTGGACTCTCCACAGGACTTTTGCATGTGCCATGCCTGCTGTCTCCTAGACCCTTTTCTCCCATCTTCACCCGATCACCTTCTAGTCAGCTCTTTCATCACTTCTTCCGGGAGCCTTCCCTGACTCAGCACATGAGAGCAATCCCCTTGTTATTCTCACCACACTGTGGGCATCTCCTTGAAGCTCCATTGCCACAGATAACACATTTATCCACCTCACTTTTTGATTAATATCACTCTCCCTTAGTTGATGTAAGCTTGAAGGTCAGTGGTAATCTCTGCTTTACCACTCCCCTATGTTTACCACAGCAACTGGTACTTAATATTAGAATGCGCTTGATATTTGTGCAATGAGTCAATAAATAAATTTACCAGTGTCAGGAATTCGACTATCAGTTATTACATGGCTAGCATCATCAAGGAACCAACTAGAAGGCAAACACATTACCTGAAAAGGAGTAAGTAGTAAGGTGAGGGGTCACAGGTTTTGTATTTGCCATGCCAGTTTAGAAATAATAATAATAATAATAATAATAATAAACACTGATAAGCTCTTTTTCTGTGCCAGGCACTGTTCTGCATTCTGTATCTATATTAAGTTACTAAATCTGAACAATCCTAGGAAGTTGGTCCTTCTGCCACCCCCAATTCACCTATGAGGAAGCTAAGATTCCTGACAGTAGTGGAAGCAGGATTTGAATCCAGGCCTGCCGAACCCAGAGCCAGGGCTCTTCTGAAGGTTCAAAAGTAAACAAAGCGATGGCCCTTCTGAAGGTTCAAAGGTAAATGGCACTTAGCCACTGCCTGGAACGGAAAGAGGGTGTGAGAAGATCGGGATCTGGGGCTCAGCAAGTCCAGCAGGGTCTCTAATGCTGTGCCAAAAGGTAGGACAGCCTCTAAGGGCACCAGGGAGCCAGTGGGTGATGTGAGAGGAAGGGGAGGTACGTGAGCAGATTGTGGCTTTTCAGAAAACTCCCTCTGGTTGCCACATAGGATGTGAATAGAGGGTAAACTGAGGCTACTATAACAAAACACAAAGACTTCTGGGTTTAAAGGCTGAGTCCAAGTCTCTGCTCCTGGGAAGCTCAGGGTCACCCCAGGCATTATTGTGTGGCTAGCAACATCAAAGAACCAAATAGAAGGCATATTCCTTTCTCCTAGTTCATGCAAACCTCTGTCTGCACCTTGGAATTCAGAGGCGTCCTACCTGGGCTGGGATAGGAATTCAGGAACCAGGTGTAGGGTGCCCCTGAGTCCTAACTTAGTTTCCCCGTTGGTACACCAATTAATAGGGCATTTCCTTCCCTAGGTCTGAGTTCCCGGGGGCTGGCTAACCTCCACTGTCATGCATCTCATCTCTCTGCCCCTTGGAGGCAGCATAGAGCAGTGGCAGCCCAGGGTGTCAGGCCGGACTGGAGCTAAAATACAGACGGCACATTTTCAGAGTCCCTTCTCCAAGTCTCAGCTTGCTCATATGTCAGTGTTGCCAGTAACAGAATGTCCCACCCAGCGTGGAACTACAGACAAATGGACTCAAGTGGTTAAAGCTCCTAGCTAGTGCCTGGTGCTGATCTGAGCGGGCCAGCGATTCATGCCACTGTTTCCTCTGTCTGGGCCATATGAGTGGCCCTCTCTGGGTCACCCAGATGGGCACACCCAAACCCCTGCCCTCGGGGTGGCCACTAAGAAGATTGCTCCCACACACATTCCCTTCTCCTACCAGCATCCTCAGATAGCCTGAGCAGCTCTGCCCACACTGAAAACTGAGCCAGGGAATCTCAAGGCACAGAGATGACAACCAGCTTTGGAAGAAAGTGGAGGGCCTAGAAACCCGAACTGAGGATTGGGTGGAGGTAGGGAGGGGACCAAGAGGACCTTAGAGGCAGGAGCACAGCACTTGGAGTCCTCCAGACCAGTGTTCCAATCCCATAAAGGGCCTACTTGAAAAGCTGTGAGCATGCCATGCACAGGACTTAAAGAGCTGCACACAGCAGGTGTTCAATAAGTGCTTTTCAGGGGTGGGAGCAGAAAGAAAGAAGTATTACCATAGTCCAGGCCCTTCTGGGTAATCCTGGCCACGATGCCAGGATTGGTGGTCGCAGTCACAGCTGTGCCTAGGGCAGCCAGCACCATCAGGCTTGCCCACCTCTGCATGTTGTTGTCTAGGCCCCGGGCCATGTCTTCTTCCTCAGAGCTGCCAAAGCCTCCAGGCCTTGGAGAGGATCCAGGGACCTATAAAGGGGCTGCCTGGGGAAATGCAAGTCAGTTGAACTCAGAAATGAGGAAGGAACCTGGGAGGGGAAAGAGTAGGGGAGGATGTTGGCCTTCAGTTCCCCACCAAAGCTGGGGGCACAGCTCTGGGGCAGCCAGAGTGTATGCGTGCATGCATACATGTGTGTGTGTGTGGGGGGGGGGCGTATATGTACGCAACCTGCGGTGTGTGTGCATATGAGTGATGTGCGGCCTATGTGTGTATATGAGGTATATGTGTGCAGCCAGCAGTCTGTGTGGGTATGTATATGTAGGCATGCATGTTTGTGATGTGTTGCACATGCGGGTGTGTGAGGTATAGTGTGTGGTGTGTGTGCAGTATGTGGTGTGCATATGTGTATGCAAGTGCACGTGTGTATGTGTGTGTGTGTGTGTGTGTGTAAGTTAGCTGGGATTTCTGGTTCTGGGCATTGTTCCCTGCCCTAAGCACCCACTTCCTTTCTCCGAGTCCCCACCTTAATTCCCTCCATCTAAGGATTTCCTTGAAGCTCCATGGTGGATATATCAGGGTACACTCAAGTTTTCTGTTCTATTGAGGTATAATTGCCATATATACTTACGATGTATAAACTTGTACCTCGTGCAATGTGGTGATTTGATATATGCCTGCATTGTGAAATGCTCCACAACCAAGTTACTCAACACGTCCCCCTCTCACACGTAGTGACCATTTTTTTGTGTGGTAAGAACACTTGAGATTTACTCTCCTAGCAAATCCCAAGTCTCCACTCCAGCACTGTTACCTGTACTCACCGTACTGTACATCAGATCCACCAAACTTACTCCTTTTATAACGGAAAGTTTCATTTTTCTTTCTAGTTTTGATTTCCTTGATATTTCCCATAGTAAAACATACAAGAAAACAGAACTTTTGATAATTTGCCTGTCTTGAGCGACAGTGGTGATAATTGATGGAATTTTGTAGTCTGCTCTCTTAGCTGTGGTTTTAAGTTTCAGCTCTGCCACTCTCTGCTAGTTTGACCAATTTCTTCTTCTGTTGGGAGGGAATAATCAGAGCACCCTCCCCCCCTGGGATTATTGCGAAAACAGAAAGGGCTTTTAAACCACATGAAGAACTTAGCAAAATGCATAATAAGCAACACAAATGGTATCTACGAATGTCACCCTGACTTTAAAAGTAATGTGTTCAGTGGTCAAAATTTAAGAACCAGAATCAAAATTACCTGCAATCCCTGAGTCTAAAGAGAAGCAGAAGTATTTAGAGTATTTTGCCCACCCCACCCCCCTTATTTTTTGGTAAGGTAGGTAGGTCCAGTGTGTGTTTTTTAACAAAGAAAACTGCGGTGGCATCGGTCAGTCTGTGGCGTGCCCTTTTTCAACAAACAGTGTGTCGTGAACATTCTCTCCCAGCATTACATATTTCATTGCTTCCTCATCCCACAGTTTTCTTCGCCACACTTGTTTTCGGTCTTTTTCACCCCTTCCTTTGACAGATGTGGAACTTGAGGTTTTCAACGGGGAAGTGTTCTTCCCACAGCCACCCAGCCAGCGGCGAGGGGAGCTGGGAACCAAACGCTGGCGCCTAGGCAGGTCCCCACACCGTCCTGAGTCCTTCAGCGCCTCGGAGGGCTGTGTGTGTGGGGGGCACTTAGGTACTCTCCACCCATCCCAGCTTTCCCGACCGGTCCCAGTCTTCTCGGCCCCTGCAGCTCCCTTGCAGCAGCTTCAGGCCCTGGGTGGGCGGGAACCCCGCCGGGGCAACAGCTCGGTCTCCATGGTGATGGGAGGAGGGGCGGGGTGTGGAGGGGGCAGCCGCCTTCTCTCCTGCTGGGGCTCCATCAGCCCCCTGGCGCCCTGTCTCCCCACGCTGATTTTATGAAAGTCTAATGAAGCCAGCTGAGACCCGAGGACGTGAGACCTCCGGGGTTTTGTATGTCCGCCCCCTCTCTCCTTTGCCTAGTTCTCAAAGGTTCTCCCTTCCCACCCCCATCCACAGCAAGAATCCTGGCTGCTGAGGAAGGCAAACACTGGCAGTGCCCAGAGACCAGTATACTATGTACCAGGTGCTTTTCGTATAGTACCTTCCAGGGCTAAAAACAACCCGTGAGGGAGGGATGATTTTTTTCCATTTTGGAAAACATTGTTTGATTCAGAGCCATCATGTTCCTGTCAATGTCACATCACCTTTCATGGAGAGAAGACTCCTTCCCTCTACCTGGGCTGTTGCCTGGAGGACTTGTCTCCCTGGGTCCTTAGCCCAGCTTTACCTTCCTGGGCCCCCAGAGTCATATGCACAAGGAAGATAGCTCTAAGAAACAGCCAAAACATATAGATGGATGACTTTTCCTAAAATTAGATGTTTGAAAATACACAGTAGCCAAAAATTGCCGAATCCCCAGGGCCCAGGCAGATGTTGCATCTGTGAGGGTGTCAGACAGGAAAGGAGCATTAAGATGAAACTTGACTTACATTGCCACAAAATTAAAATCTTAAAACCACCCAACAAGTTTCTGAATAAGCAATCCCCACCCACTTCTCCCTGATGGTTCAGGTCCAGCCAAATTCTGATGGCCACAGAAGTACCCATTGCTTCAAAAATGACTCTCTACTTTGTTTTAGCTATACTGTCTTCAGTACAAATAACAGAAATGCCCAGCTCACATTGGCTTCATCTATAAGCACATTTATTATTTCAGAAAAAGAAGTCCACAGAGAGGATAGGCTTGAGGTTTTGGTTGATTTAGCAACTAACAAATATTTACCATCTGCCTAACTCTCTCTGCTCTGCCATCTTAGTGTCTTAGATTAACCCTTACACTGACTTCTCTCATGGTTGCAAAATGGATGCAGCAGCCCCTACCATCACATATAATCAGGTAGCTTCCAATATCACCTATATTTCTTCCTCTCCTCTTTTTTAGTTGAAGGGTAGGCCCCCCAAGATATTCAGATGGGCCTTCCTTAGACTGTCATTTTGACATGTGAATTATTTCTAGTTGAGGTCAGCTGAGGCCCTGAAATCTCACAAGAAACTTTTGCCACCCCATTAACTATTTAGAAAAATGAAAATTATCTTAAAAAGAGATCAACACTTTTTTGAGACATTCTCATAAGAAGTTATCTCCAAGGTACAAGAATCCTAATCCACCATTATGGTTTTTACCAGAAGTAAAGTCTATTGGAGAAACCTATGCATATAGCAGGGCAAACATCTGATCTTATCATATAAATTACCTGTTCCTATTCTGATGAGTCCCCCTTTTTTCTCCTGGAAGCCTCAACCCCCTACCTCATTCCTTAGTTTAGGAGATATATCTCCTTATTTTGCCCCATTGACACTGGAATCCATGTCCATGTAGATTCTTCAAGCATATGCAATTAACTCTGTTCTTTTCTCCTATTGTTCTCCTTGATGTTGATTTGATTGCTTGACCAGTCTGAGAAGATCCCAAATGGGTGGGAGGAATTTTCTTCTCTACCCCTACATGATCTTATAAAATATTTCAGACATATGGATAAGAATAGACAACTCTGCTTTATAACTTAACATCATGCCTAATTTACTTCATATAGTTTCTTTTAGTTCAACAACTTAATACAAGTATAGACATGGCAGAACCCCAATAAAGATAGAGAATAGTTTCATCATCTCCTTAAGCTCTAATATCCAACTAAACAAGGCTCAAATAACAAGGAACATAGATGCCAGCAGGAATTCAGCTATTTAAGAGCTGGTTAAGAATGGTTCAATTGGTCACTTAGAAAAATAAAAATGGGAAAAAAATTTTAAAAAAAGTTAGTTAAGTCTGCTGTGCCATCTTTTCCTATTTTTTATTTTTTTTTAAAAGATTTATTTATTTAAATATACAAGAGATGCAGGGTGGGGGTGGTGGGGGGTGAGAGGAGTCACCAGAGACAGAGTGGGGAACAGAACAGGCAGACTGACTGAAATACACTGCTGAGGGAAGCAGCGGGCAAGACAGGAGAGGACTGCTGTGCCATGTGGGTTTCTCCCTGGCTGGCTGGGGATTGAACTCATGCTGCAGAGGCTGCAGATTGCTTCATAGTGCTCAACCCCTTGCGCCACCAGATAGACCCCTCTTTTTCTATGTTTTTTAAAGATTTATTTATTTATTTATACAAGCATTGGGTACAGTCAGAAGTGCAGGAGGGTAAGAGAATTCACCAGAGCCAGAGCGGGGAGCAGAACAGGCAGACTGAGGCAGTACACTGCTGAGGGGAGCAGCGGGCGTGGCAGGAGAGGTTTGCGCATCATGTGAGACCCTCGCTGGCGGCCGGGGATAGAACTGGCACTAGAGAGGCTGTGGGCAGCTTCACAGCCCAATGCTCAACCGCTGCGCCACCAGGGAGGTCCTCTTTTTCTATTTTTTAAAGATTTATTTATTTATGCATACATAACTGGGGTACAGGCCAGAGGTACAGGGTGTGAGAGGATCTACCACTGACAGAGTGAGGAGCAGAACAGGCAGACTGACTGAATTTACACTGCTGAGGGGAGCAGTGGGCAAGGCAGGAGAGGTCTGCTGTGCCATGTGGGTTCCTCCCTGGCCGGCCGGGAATCAAACTCGAACTCATGCTGCAGAGGCTGAGGATAGCTTCACAGTGCTGTGCTTAACCCCTTGCACCATCAGGCAGGCCCTGCTGTGCCATCTTTAGGTGGCTCATTTTTTCTGGAAAAAAGTGCGTTGGTTTTGGAGCCGGCTCACCTGGGTCCCCACCAGGCTACCTTCTCCTTTTGTGATTCCATTCAAGCTCTCTGACCCTTTTAAAAATTGGGTTCCTTATTGAAAGATGGGGAAACAATGCTTGTCAAAGGGGTTGTTATGCAGATTAAATGAGATAATAATGAGTGAGAATCAATTTGCAGGGAGAAAGTGCTCCCTAAATAGTCATGAATCATCCTTTATCACGAGTTTCCTGGGAGAGCCCCCAGGAAAACACATGCAGTGGGGGAGGGGCTACCAAAATCAATGCTCCTGGCCCTCTGGTGTTTGCGTTTGGGCAGAAAGAGGAATCCATGGCTCACATTGCCTCTCTGGGCCTGCCCTTCCGGCACAGCAGGGTAGTCTGGATGTCACTTACACCTGCCAAATCACAGCTTCACTTTGCTGAACCTCTGTTTCTTCAGTTGTCCCCCTCTCTATGTGCAGGCAGGGGCCCTGGCTCAGGTCCAGCTTTTAGGTTTTACCAAGGGGCCACCTTTTGGTCAGTTGAGGCCCTATAAGTCTCTCCCTTTCTGCTGGATTCTCTGTTCTTTTCCTCCTTCCTTCCCATCCTGGTCCTGCTTCCTCTGTGTATTTGCTTGGGTATATGTTGTCTGTCACTTCCTGGTCCAGGACTGGGGATACAAGTGTAGAAGGGGCTCCATGGTGGGTCCTAGGAGTAAAGGGGAGGAGAGGAATAAGCCCCCATGGAGATCTGGTCTCAAGGTGTAGTGTCTAAGAGGCAAACAGATAATTTGCACCTTGGAGATGATCTTTCATGAGAGTGTCTCCCCAAATTGTTAGTGTCCTTCTCAACCTCAGGTTTCATAAAAGCACCCGTTTGGGTACTGTGGTTCTGGAAGTGGGAGCAGGTCTTTTCCATGAGATGATGGTGATAGTGATGATGATGGTGATGATGGTGGTGATGATGGTGATGATACCAGACCATAAGTGCTTGGAGCCTGAGAAGGACAAGCTCAGGCTAACCAGGCAACTCCCCAAAGCTTCCAGAAGGAGGTGATGAGACTTGACTTACCTGTGTCTCCTGTGTCCTGCAGAGACAGCCCACCTGCGCCTGGGAGCCGCGAGGAGGGGCCCCTCTGAAGATATTGGCTCTGCGCAAAGGACAGTTTCTGGGAGGTGCTGAGGTTGAGGGAAAGAAAAACAGAGAGCAAAGTAGCTCTCTCAGGGGGCCATGGGGAGGGCGGGTGTCATTTTCAGTTCCCCTTTCTTTCCAGAAACTGAAGAGCTTTGACTGTGCTACAAGCTTGATTTAGCAGGCTGGGCCTCCTCCAGCCAGAGGGAGGATCACAGGAAATGAAGTAACACACAATTGCCAAATGTCCTAGGGCCTCAGGCACCCAGAGCCATTTCCCTTCAGCCACATTAGGAAATAGGTGTGTGTGCACAGAAAGGCCCAGGGGGCTGGGGACTGGTCCCAAAGAAAACTTGCTGGTAAGGAACACACCTCACCCTGGCCTTCCCCGGGTGTGGTAAGGCCTGGGTGTGGCCTTCCCTGGGCTGAGGACACAGACAAATGTACTAGAGGGAAGGCTACAAGGAATGACCTGGCCTTGAGCCCTGACTTTGCTTCCACATGATCTTGAAGGAGTCTTTCCTCCCACCTAGGCTCCAGGGTCCTCATCTGTAAGAGCAGACCCCATCTTTGGAGGGCACAAACCACACCAGAAGCCAAATCAAGCTCTTGATTAACATTTTCTTTTGATCTTCACCTATCTCCTGAAAGAGGGTATCATTGGCTCCATTTCACAGGTGAGAAAATGGAGGTTCAGAGAAGTTAAGTAACTTGTCCAAGGCCACACAGCTGAGAAGTAGCAAGGTGAGGTTGAGGGCTTCAAAATGAGGGGAGAGTAAGTGCATTTCCCGTTGGATCATGAGATGGAGGTGACTATGAAATGCCAGGACTGTTGGAGAAATATGTCTCCTGAGCCCGCCTCTGGCAGGGACAGGTGTAGGGACACTCAGGCCAGGCGCAGAAAACAACTGAAGCAAAGGCA